CACTTTACATGCCGCCGCACTTCAACAACACGATGACAGCAATTTCAGTCACTTCTGATGCAATAACTTACAACAGCGCACATGTGGTATGGTGTGCCGTCGGATTAGGGCGCAGACATTTGGACCACATGGCCTCAGCCAATCCCGTGTCTCTCTGCGTTCCAATGGCATGCGAGGAAGATAAGCAGCCAACCAGAGAAGGACACAACTGAGGTGCAGTATATAATGAGCGGCGTGGCCAGCGTGGTGGACTCGGATGGAAGGCGCCTGACGTGTGGCTCTGGCTTCTGATTGGTCAATGAAGTCTGTTCTGTTGTAACGGTCTTTTTCCATTTAGGACTCGGGTATTCTACATTGGTGGCAGCGGACGCGTTCGAATTACGCTTATCGAACGTCAGCCCTTTCTCTTTTATGGTTAACACAGACAAAGACCCTTAAATGCCAGCTGAATTTGTCATGGCGTTCATCCGATGTCCAATAAAGTGGATCCAGACACATTGCCCGGGATTAGGACTACTGGATCTGAAGAGGCATTGGCAACTCAGCGACGACGACTTAGACAGTGGAAGCCAGCTGGACTGCATCTGCGAAGGACCTTCAATGGATGATGAGTCTTTCCTGCAAGTCTACAAGGGCAAAGTCCCTCGTCAACTATTCGCTTGAGCCACTATCCTGCCAGATGTGTGGTGTCGGTGAATGTTACTAGTCATGGACAGTGCGGTGAACCAAGCCAGAAGCTGAGAACAGCTTCACTGCTGAGGGCGAAGCAGTGTAGCTACATCTGAGGGCGCAGACATATTGGACCATGCTGGCCTCAGCTAATCCAGTGTCTCTCTGTGTTCCAATGACATGCGAGGAAGATAGGCGGCTAACCAGAGAAGGACACGAATGAGGAGCAGCATATAATGAGCTGCATGCCTACCTTAGTGGACTTGGATGGACGGTGCCTAATGTGTGGTTCTGGCTCGTGACTGGTCAATAAATCCCGTTCTGTTTTACCAGTCTTCTCAATACTAGGGCTTGGGTATTCTGCACACTGAACACACAGGCCATTCGTATTAGACTGCATTGAACCCGTCTTCTCACTTCGTGCGACTAGCTTCAACAACACCTCTGACTGCACTCGTATCAAAGTGCAAGAAAGGCCAAGACCAAACCTTTAGCTGACATTGCCACTGCACATAGTCCAGCTGATTAAATTGATCAGTTAGAGAATACGTTGGAGATTCAAAAGCTGGTCCAGAAGGAGGTCATTTCGGGTTTACTGATCTCAGTAATGATAATGTGGAGAACGAGGTTAAACAGGGTGCACTAGACACTATCTGCTTTATGATGGCACAATGTGTTACAGTGTTATTGCAAAATTCAACAGTTTTCATTCGCATTGCTTAGACGGCCACGTTAAAACACGAAAGTAAACGCTGGTGCAGAGTGTGGACCCTGAAAAGTAAATGCCTCACACCGGTTTAAGCTGTGCAGCAAGTGCTGATCCACATGTCGGATTACAGTACCAGCAGTATATGGAATAGATGTCTTTAGAGATATAGAACTAAAGTCACTTAAGGGCTATTCTCAAGTATTGGAATGATGGAGGCATCTAAAGGCTTTTGCACTGCCACAGTAAAATTAGTATTAGCGCTTATTGGTGATGGCGATGGATAAACAAACTTAGTATGTAAGCTTGTCAAATTGGTATCTAAAGGACTTGCAATTTCCCGAGATCGTGGAGTGGACGAAGTTGCAGAGACGCGAGGAAAGCTCCACTCACTCCTATCGCGGAAGTAGACATTTGGCAGTGGCACATTGGCAATGGTTGAGACTACTAGTTGCATCACTTTAGTAGACAATAAACTTGCATCATTTTGCCTGCCAGTAATCTCATGTAGTCGGAAGGGATCGTCTGAGTTACGGTGACCTCCATAACACTAGTTTTTAATTGAATGTATGCAGCGTGAGAAAGGACTTCGGATGAATGTGTGTTCTCTACACATAAGTGCAGATCATAAAGTACCGTGGTCAGAAGACGAAAAGAACCCATTAATTATACCAGTTTTCCTTAAATGATCTGACGACACACAGTTTAAGAAAACGCCTTCAGTTAAGAAACCAGCAGGAATATTTTGAAGAGGAAACCCAAGTTCCTAATTATTTGGTTTTTCGCAAAAAAACCTTCGTATAGTTTATAAGTTTTGATGTAAACCTTCTTAATCGTGTGGTGAAGTCGATACTAAATTATTGTTCCCATGTCTTTAGTGGGAGAATAACTGTTTACGTTCAGTCAGCCTGCTCGAATTTCGCCGAATATGTGGCTCCGTTTTAGTTGTGGGAAGTGCTACAATGAGAATCCATCAGAGCGTCCTTGTCTGTTGTTGTGGTGACTGAAGGGAAGGTTATCTGCCGACGAGCATTGTGATCGGTTAATGTTGATGAGTCAGGAGCTTCTGTCTTTCACGTGAAAATAGTAGGCGCAAGTTCACGTGGATTAGGACACTTCATTTGCCTCCGCGTCATCCGTCGGGTAAGGGGTGAAGTAAAGTGCATATCAGTTTGTGTACTCAAAAGTGTTTCTCCCAGTGACGAATGGTAGAACTTCACATCCATTCGGCAACTTTTACTCTTAAATTAACAGTTCCTTTTGCCCATGCTTGCGCGTGTGTGCCACAAGCCTGGTTCGCCAACTATTGTAGAAGTCCCGTAATCTCCCTCTTGCAACGCGCCAAGTATTTAATTGCTGTCTTAAAGGGACAATTCACGGGTTAAAAGGCCACTCGCTCAAACTGCCACAATTCTACAAAACTAATTCACCAGACTCGGCACTGCATCGATTCAAACTTACCACCCACGTATGCTGAATAGACTGCGTACGTTTGTAAACATAAATGTTTTTGTTTCGGGACCTTAACTACGGTACACGGTGTACCGTTTACAGCTCTTGGAGTGTCTGTAAGAACTCTCAAGGGGACAGCTCTGCTCTACCTAGGAAGCAGTAGACTGAGAGTATCCAAACGTGGCCTGGACAAATGTGCCCAGGTGGATAGACATGGGGCCTTCAGTAATGTCGTTTGTGTCAGGAATATGGTCACGTGCAAAGCCTAATGGTCGATTACTGATGGCACATTAACAAATTCGGATAAGCAGACTGAGAGGTGTGCGCTCTCATATTGAGATGGCGATGAAAAGCGTCCACAGATCCGGTCAATCATGCCACTTCTCGGAAGATTATGCTCTAGAAACCACAAATCCAAACCCCATTAAAATCACACACTACAGCAGACTGCAGTTTTAAAAGTTAATCAGAGTGAAGTAAATTTGACCTAGGGGTGTAGCATCTAAATGTGTAGCATCGATGTGGTCTAAAATCCATAGAAGGAAGCGATTAAAACTCTCAACAAAGCAGTATATATGGTAACTCTGATTTGCTGATGCTGTTGCTATCACCGTGACCTGATGGATGGGCCTATGGGAAAAGCATGATTGAATACTAGAGGTAATGCTAATTGCATTTTAGACTCTGCATATTTTGAGTTGTAAACAAAGCCAGTATCCTGGAGAAAACATAAACCTGAATTGAAATTGCAGCGAGTTTATTTGTGAGGTAAAGTGAATGCGTAAAGTCATCATGAGACATAAATGCGAATTTGAGCAAGTGGTAAGATCATAAATGTGGGAAAGACGAAAGCCACAGTTGGCGGAGTCACTGCAACTGCGTGACAGCAATTAAAAAGATGACTTGTACCAGTCGCCAAAGCGACCGTGGTTATATAGACGTTAGATACTTTGTCTCATGTAACAGTCATCATGTCTAGTTTGACTCACTTATCCTCAGTATAGACGGCGTATCCAAGACTATCTAGTCGATAACAACGTAGACCGGTTGCCACCACAATGCAATATGACGTCTACGTTCAAATTCGCATGACACGGGGAATCGATTTGAAGACATGATAATGATTCGAAACGGAAGGGTTCCGACGCTTCCTGGGAGCCCTCATCGCCAATAAGCCATAACATCAATAATCACGAATCGCGTTTATTAAAGGACAATAATACACAAGCAACGAAAGTTCCATCGACCGAGGCCAAATATTTGATGGGCAAAAAAAGAGTAGCAAAAGGGTTTCGGCTGCGCGTCGATCACGAAAATTACCCGAAGGTTATTTTGGTTCTATAATTCTCCACATTCTCCTCATGTCCCGCATTTGTGGCCACGTCGTCATGAACCTGCGTTGAGGAAAAGACAATGTGCTTGAAGGCCTTTAGAACGATTTTGGCCCTACAGATTTGCCTCCTCTGACCTCCTTTACTAAGGCTTTGTCAGCACTCTATCAAATGTACACGGCTAGCAACGCTCCTAACTCAAACATGTAGAATGACCCTACTTTCTACGCAGTAAGCCAAAGTTAATTGTCAGTGCTTCCTGATTGATCTTTGCATTTAAAAATTATCCGGACAAGGAGAACCACTCGTCCTACTTAACTGATTGACTGGCCGCTCCCGTTAATTTCTTGTCCACCGTTTGAATACTTACTGAATAATTAGCAAAACCAAGAGAACAATAACCCGTTGTTAACGGGACCTAAATGCTATTATAGTGTTAGCATTTCCTTTGGCAGATCGACAAACCATGGGTTCGAAAGTCAGCACTGAGACACGGCCTGCGCGTTATTCAAATGAGGTCAAACCAACATGCCAAACAAAAATACGGTCGTGGTGTTTCCACAGTGAATTAATCGGAAGACGTGCATTGCCAGTGAAATGGGCACTCAAATTTGGCTCCGAGGTGGTTACACCAAGGAGGTTTCACTAAAGTTTTTTGCCACGCTAACTGGTTGGCTTCGGTCTGACACCACACAGGTTATTGGGTCGGGTCAGACCTCGTCCATTGAGTAGCACTGTACCGGTGCAACAACTCGCTGAAGTGAGCAAATCCTTGTCGTCGCATGAGCCCCAAGAGATGAACAGCCACCTCATTCGTTAACAGCAGGTGGCACACATGGCAGTTAGAAGAGGGCGCACAACGCCTGGCTGATGGAACTGTTCGCAGAGGCAAAACTCAAATTCATTTTAGTGCCACCTGGGTAGTGGACAAACAACATGAGTTGAGCTCCAGTGGAGACGAACAGATGTTGAGTGCACGCCACCATCCAATTGAGCTCCAGTATTGAGCACTTGCCACCATTAATTTTTTGCGATCTCAAGGGCAGGGATCAAATCACGTATCAACGCGTGCTTTTATTATGAGAAACAAATCCCAGCCTCCTTGTCTCCCATTGATATTGGAAGTAAGTGGCCTGCTACGCTGTAATGCCCAACTGCTTCTGAATTATTTATGTAAGTCTTTACTTGTGAAGATGCAAACTAGTGGTCCATAAGGATGCAAAAGGAGATCAGGTTACCTTCACCTCTCCCACTTGCATAAAGAGCCGATTCGCACTGGAGTATCCTTAGGAGTTTCATAAGCACTACCTCATGCAGTACTGGTTGGTGAAAAACTTCCTGTACACCAGGTCGAAAACTGTGCTCTTACGGAGCTAGATGCGAGACAATGCTTAGTATTGTGATTGACTTCTTCACGGGCGCACAACGTCTGGCTGATGGAACTGTTCGCAGAGGCAAAACTCAAATTCATTTTAGTGCCACCTGGGTAGTGGACAAACAACATGAGTTGAGCTCCAGTGGAGACGAACAGATGTTGAGTGCACGCCACCATCCAATTTTTTTGCGATTTCAAGGTCAGAGATCAAATCATGTTTCGACGCGCGCTTTTATTATGAGAAACAAATCCCAGCTTCCGTGTCACCCAGTGATATTGGAAGCAAATCCCAACTGCTTCTGACTTATTTATGTAAGTCTCTAGTTGTGAAGACTCTGTAGTGGCTAGAGATTTAGCACTACTCCACAACCCTCTAATTAACAGCCCAAGACAACTCGAGAACTCGACAACTCGACCGGTTTATTGGTGTCGAAACAACCAAGTGGCTTTGTGGGCGTATGCGTACGCGTGCTTAACAGGCGAATGCTGACAGATGCCAATAACAAAAGGGGTGAGTCATTGGGACTCTCGGGCCCTCATGAACGCATCACTCACGCGAGGTGGCTCTTAGTCCACCACAACGCAAACTAGTGGTCCATGAGGATGCAAAAGGAGATCAGGTTACCTTCACCTCTCCCACTTGCATAAAGAGCCGATTCGCACTGGAGTATCCTTAGGAGTTTCATAAGCACTACCTCATGCAGTACTGGTTGGTGAAAAACTTCTTGTACACCAGGTCGAAAACTGTGCTCTTACGGAGCTAGATGTGAGACAATGCTTAGTATTGTGATTGACTTCTTCATGGTAGTTTGATCATCGCGCCTTATAGTCTGGCAGAATTGCGAGTCACGATCGTCCGGCATGAATGCACACTCACCGTTAGGACCAGCGCGAGTTTATCACCACCCACGGGTTGAACGGCAGCTCTAAGACTCAGCGTCTGAGCCTTGTTGGACGTGAGTGCTTTCAAGGTAGTTCGTAGTTTGGGACCATTCAAGGCCTTTCTGAATTGAGTGAGGCTTTCTGCAAGCGCGACCTGATCGATCTCATAGATGTCGTCGCTGGTGAAAGGCGCTTCATCAACTACGACGTGTTCCGGCGCCTTGATGGAGTACTCATTACTCAAAAATGTGGAAACATGACTCTGGAGGAGGAGAATCGTAGCGACATTTCCTGAAATTACAAAACAAACAGACCATTGTTGGTTAGCACTCAAAGTGGTAACCTATTCATTCGTATGCGCGTAAACGGGTTGAAAAGCTGCCGAGTCCTAAAACCAAGAGCACGCTGTTTCAAGAAACCAGGAAGTACGTGCGGTAATGACTTCGACGCCTTGTTAAGAATGCACATATGGGAGAGTGCAGACGTGGTTGTGTCGCCTCCGGTTGCCAAAAGTGAGGTTTATATAGTAAAAGCCGAGTATGCATGAGTAGATGGCCACAGCCGCCCTCTTCTCTCAACTGTTGAACCCACTGTGAAAAACAGCGTCTAAACATTCCTTACTTTCACTCTACGTAGGTAAGAGGTAGCGAGAACTACCACAATTGGCCTATGTCGTCGCGGCACCACCTGAAGAGGAATGAAAGCAGGCTTTATCGCAGATTGTGTACGGGTCTTTCGATTAGTTATTTTGCAGGACAAGTGCTGTCGAACACCTTATTCTAAAAGGTGGATTGTGGGCCTGGATTTTCATGAGGCACTCTAAGGCACATTTCTTGGGTTCCAGCATGGCGATCGCGATATAACCATATCACTTTTGCATACGAATAACAGCCACGGCCACCATCCAAAACCGTGTGTTATGGAGCTAATCACTTTAATTCTAACCCAAGTCGAAAAAATCAACATTACTAAAACATCTACTCCTTCAAATGAGTAAGCGAGTTGCAAATAAAACATGACATGTCAGGTAATCTGAAAAAAAGTATGCCACAGCATCGGTTGTTTGGGAACTAACGCAGTTAAAGTCGTTTGGCCCACTGAAACATCTTAATGCAAAATTAATAATCGGCATGAATTGCGCTGCAACATTGACACGGCTTGAAAAGCAGGACAAATGAGCTTGGTGACGAATTAAGTACCTGCAGGGCGCTTGGCACTATAACTAAACTATGTGTCATAATGCAGAGTTAATAGTTTCGTCCATCGTTGGCTGCACAAAAATTAAATCACGGATCTTTACAACTGAGGTGCACCAATGCACACTATCCCCTTCCATTTTGACGGGACTGACCCTTGTGGATGCTCAATTGATGCAGGTCTTTTGGCCAGATGTGAATTTCGTACAATTTGCAACCGCAATTCAACAATTTTAATGCAGATCCCTTCGCAAGCACACCTTCAAGACAATGGGTTATGCAAAAGAATTGTAAGCTTTCTACGAGTTTTCTGTCTTGACACTCGACGAGGAAGCCTCGCGTGAAAAAAGTAGCTATAAACGCAAATGCTGACTGCAGTTGGCTAAAATATGACATGGGAAGCACACTAAGGGAACGACGTTGCGTACTAACTTGAAAATCCAATTGTTGAATTGAGAATGCCAAGCGTTGATCTTTCAATACCTAACTGAGGAGATGCGAGGAAATTGTCGAAGAGAGGACTCCCCGAATACGGCTGGTATAGTCGCCTTGGACGATAGCGTTGCAGGGCCTTCTGCACTCTAGCTAGGACATCGGTAGCTGAAAAGGAACTCAACATCTTAAACTTTCAGAACCGTTACGTGAATATTAAGAATGGTTTCTGCGAATGCAATCGGGTCACACACTCACAATCAAACAAATGAGACTAAAGTTATGGAAATTGCGTCGAATTTGAACTTTGTATCTGAGATGCACCAATGGACCCTACCCCCTTCCATTTTTGTCAATGTGTATATTTTGTCTGAAGGTTCAAGTATTACTGAGGCCGCTGCTCTGTGGATTGGTCGTTTTATTGTTATATCTCTAAGGCTGTCTTCTCTATGCCGTATGTTTCCACGAGTCACCTTTCCATCAGACTTCTTTAATAGGCTATAAATTTGTCTTTACTGTAATGTCCGGGGAAAATTCGAGCTCTCTTCCAACTTGTCGATGTCGTAAATGCTTTTCTCTTTTCATATTCCCTGCCTGATTACATTCACGAACATGTTCTATTTTTCGTTGATTTATATTGTCAACTACAAAAATTAAAGCCTTGGCAGGGAAAGAAATAGTCTCTGGACTTTTTAAATGTTTCTTATTAACTTTTTTTATTGTGAAATGCTGTATGCGTTTTCAAGGCCCTACTGATATCGTGACTTCTCGAAATTGTTTTCATTATCCTGTAAAAGTTAATGCGTCAACTCTTTTGAACGTACATTTTACTGGCGTACATAAGTACATCTGCTATGGTAGGCCTGTGGTTCTGCACGAACATTCCACCTCAGTGCGAGTGTTCTGTTGCTCTTCTCTCTGGAGTTATGAGTAAGTAAATGACGCAAGATGCCACGCCATCTTGGTCCTATTTTGTCGAGATTTCGGGGAATGCTCCGATAGTGAGTGAAACCAGTGGTTCTGTTTTACCCACTTACCAGGAATTGCTTGCCTTTAAGGTAATGACCAGCACAGATAATACGCTAGCTGGACGCCCGTTAGGTGAGCGGATAAAAGCCCACACCGACTGATCTTATCACACTATCCGAACCCGGGGGCTACAAATGCCAATCTTGTGCTTCTTCTGAACTGAGAACCAGCGACTGACAATCATAATTTGACAAAACTCGCGGAAGCTATCAATAGTAAAAATAAACATGATTTGAGTTTCCAAGCCCTTTGTAAAGCAGGTGGAAGTAAAAGAAAGCGCACCCTCACTTCCGCCACAGAATCTTTGTCGGCATGGTGTCTACGAGAACATCTTTATTTTATCAAATTATCGGAGCTTTTAACTTCTAGTGATACGCCTTAGCGGCCAAAAGAGGGCCTGGGCACAAGCCTGTTACATTTTTGCGGCTTACCAATGCCCTCACATGTCTCCTGAGCACGTGCATCGCCGCCCCTATGGGCCAAATAAAGCCTCCTTTTTGAGGGAAACCGTACACTGAATTGTAGAGACTACACACAACAGTCGCAGTTAGCTCGACTTCGACAAATTTGTTGTTCAATGATAAATCAAAAGATTATTTCTAGAATGTGAATGCAATCGCTTTCATCTTTTAAAATTGGTCATATAAACGCATTTTAGCCTCAATATTGATGCTTTATCGACTCTTGAATAACTAAAAGGTTTTTTGTGTAAAAAGTCAATCTAGGCTAATTCTTCCATATCAGGTATTTTCTGGTTGGAAACGAAACAGCACTCATTTTACGTAACCTAACTGGTAAATATTTAGCCAGAAGAAGAGTTTAACAAATTCGATCTTATACAACTACACCCCATAGTGATATTTTTACTTAGATAGGGGCTCTTCCATTTTCTGTGCTCGAGACGGTTTACATTTTGAACCAATAAATTACCGGATGGAATTTTTTTGAATGTTCCGAAGTTAGCGTTGTACCCACAACGACACCTACTGAGTTGTAATTGCTAATGCGATCCGATCCTACACCAAGTACCTAGAGAAGAAGAAGAGGACCAAAGTTGACGGACGCTCAATTGTTAATGGTGTAACAAGAGAGAGGATGTTTGGTGTGACGACGTCACTTCAAGAAGGAACACTTAATATGCTATCGCTGAACGAACGTTGCTATGTGGTGTCCATTCCTGATAATCGGTTGAATTCACACTCGTTCCCACCGTGTAAAAACCTTTGTGAAATATCTCGAGTACGTCTCATATGAACGTGGTGGCCACCAACGTGCTGTTGACTGACTTTGATACATGCTGGTTGGGTGGTTTCCCTTTTATATTTGCATGCGAGATTATCCTCTGTAAAAGTTCATTTATTCCGTTTTACTTTGACTTCATGGAACGATTGACACAAGCTCATTTCAGACCGTTGCGTCAAGCTAAGTGGTTTCCAATTTGGAGCAATTTCAATCCATCTTCTAGTCTCATTACCAAAAGGCGTGAATTCTTTAAACTTCCAGCCAATTCAACAATCCCTATCAAAGTCAACATCCGTTAATCAATGAAGTTTTGCACGATTAATGTGGCTGTTCTTTGACGAAAAAATTTGGAGTTCCTTTTAACTTAATCTCCACATTTTGCTAGCCTCTATCGTTATAAAACACTTTAGGCAACACAAATTTATTCATTACCCACTTCTCAGTGTAATTAATTAAATACGAAGCTATTGATGTCGATAAGGCCTCCCAACGTTTTTTTGTGGCTTTGCTTGTGTTGCTTCCAATCCACCCAAACCTGTCCAAAGCGGACTTTTGCCCCTCCCAAAACTAGGTTGCCTAACGAGATAATGTCTAAAATTTCAATTAGTGACTTGTTCCTCTTGAGTACCCATGGGTTAGTCTAACACAGCCAAGGTGGCCATGTGGAGTACTGTACATGGTGTCGGTTACAAGGACGCGTTGGACCAACTTCATTTAGACGGAAGCCCTTTTTCTCCCGTGAGAATTACGAAAGCTATGAGAATGCGTAAACTATCCTCAAGTATGCGACTAGATTACATAAAATCATTCTTCGTAGGCCATTTGGTTCGCTTACCTTCCTGTTTCTGTAATATAAAGTTGAGTGGAAAATTCTGCTAGCTATTGAGATCCACAATAAATGTATTCAGCATATAGCTGTGCAAACTGGTGTGCGAAACATTTGCTTTTTCAATCGGAAGTCCACAACAATATTTCCAGTAAATGACCGCTTACCTTGAAGGACGTTAAAATTTGTACTTGGACTTCACAGAACAATGTCTTGGGATCACCTGTTTCTGAGCTAGGTATTTGGATGCTCCATTAACAGTTTAATTAGATCTGGTCAATATTAGCGCAAACATTTCTTAGGTTGTCATTCGATAATAGCGAGAAGAGATGATAATGATTAGTGAACATGACAGTGGGAGCCATTTTTTAAACTGTATGAGTTCCCGAGAAACGGAAGAATTGACTTTATTTGGTATTTGGAACCACAGGGGTTTGGCGTCGAAATTACCACACCACCGATGCATTGAGAATATCTGTAAGATGTTTAGAGTGTATTTCTGATGAGAGTCTTTCCAAATCTTTGAAGAACTTAAACAAAAGTTCACTCTAACCCCATTTATAGGACATACCTATATGGGGTCGAATGTTTCTGACTTGGGCATCTTGTGTTAGCTATATCAGCCCTATACAGTTAACACGTCTTAACAGTGGTGACAAGGTTAGCTCAGTGACACCTTAAATCAGCCTCTTGGTAAAGTGAACAAAGAATCAAGAAATGCTCTCTAAACTACCAACTTTGTCTAAAATTGTACCGAATTCAAGAGCCTGAATATGTGACTACGGCCACAACAACCGGTAATGAGGAAATGCATCAAAGGCTGAATAAACGCCGTCTCTTACCTAAAGTAAGAAACACGTCTTGTCAATGCACTTCATTTGAGGAAAGTAAGTTGGGAGCAAACACGGACCATGAAACAACAGAAGCTTTTTTTAGATTTATTCTGCGCGCTTTATTTGTAAAACGCACCAAGCTTTGGTGTTACCTGATACACGAAAATACTGCGCCTAGCGAAAGAAAGGTTCAGTCACTAGTGCATTTTAGAATAACTTGGACAGGATTTTGACAGATGTTTCCTCATCAGGTAGTGTGACCGTGCAAGTCAATTTAAAAAAAACTATTTACTGAAGACTAGGTTGTTCCAGTAATCCACTTTTACACCTATATAAACGAAAACAAAGTTCTCTTAAGCATTTACTATTTCGATTTGTTGTAAAAGTTGAGTGATTGGAATAGATTCGTCAGTAAAAGTCGCTTCCCTTAGATAACAGATTTATGCCGGACATTGAAGGGCTTAAAATAGAGCTGGAAGGAATCCGTGTGGCCAACCTAAGAAACGGTAACTACAAAGTGCCACAGTATCCTGCTTTAAACAGACCCGTCATTTAGGCATGACGCATACAATTAACTAAGTCAAACTTCGAGTGTCATGAGTTTTGGCATTTAGTGCGCCTTGCTGACGAGTCCTCAACAAAAACCTCCCTTGCAGCTACACAGATTCACTCTTGCATAACGAAGACAATTTGGAAAACAGATGCATCGTGCGTAGATAGGAAGATAAGTACGTTTTATATTGACATTTTCTACGGACTTTCGACAAAGGATCCCAACTTAATTTTCATTCTGACCTAAATTTTTAAGTTCTTGTGGTAAGGCAGTTTGTTAACTATGCGCAACTGTAGCTGGGTTTTATTCATTAAAAGAAGAGTTCGCTTCACATTAAGGCTTTTTCATACAAAACATGACATCGGTGCGGAAAATGAACCGAATTCAGTGCATAAATTACAAACTTGTAAGTACAATTATTGCTTTATTCGGTGTGTCAGTGAAAACACAAAACCTAACTTTTTTCCACATTTGATTTAATGCGTATTTCGCATCGATTGTGAGGAAAGTCTTTGCTTCATTTACACCAAGGGAAATTCACTTCAAAACCGTTAATATGAACAACTTTCATTCTGGAAGCACCTCAGTACGTAATCTGCTGATGATCAAGAGGCACTTAAGTGAAAGTCGACTAAGTTACAGGTAGCTTACCTACATTTGCATCTGGCGACTTGTGATCATACTGAATACAGGCGCTTTTAGAAATGAGGTTTGAAAATGCTTACAGCAGAATGTTGGCACTGGAGGTGCTTCGTTTGTGGGCAAGCTTGGCAAAATACTTATAATCCCTGCCTTGAGGGTCTTAAACATTTCCTCGTGATGGGCATCAGTTTCTGGAAAATAGGAACATGGTCTTGTAAACACAATAAACTGTCAGAGGCCTTCTTTCTTAAGTTAAACGATTGAATAGCTAATTAACTTACACTTGCCAAATGAACAAAAGTTACGAGAAGCTGAGTGATTGTGGGGAGTTTGGGTGAGATGGGTAGCAGTAAAACATGATTTTATTTCTCATTGCTACCTCGCATTGAATGTAGGCTAGCCTTAAGCATGTGATTTATTGCTTGAGGTTGTCTGGTCAAGGTGGCAAGACAAGGTCCTGGCGCATATTCTTGCCCTCATACATTAGGGTTGCATGGAGTTAATAAAGCCACCCCCACAAGTCAATGCAGCCCGTACTTAGTATTAAAGAACCTGGAGTTGCATCTGTGGTTGTAGTGTTAATAAATGCAAAATTGAAATATATGTAAACCTTGGTACAAGTACCCAAAAAGAATCCTATAGACCAGGTTTCGTTGTACTTGCGGAATTATGCGTAACCATGACACCTGCGTCCTAATTTAATGATCGGAAGTGTGCATCAAGTGTAATTGAAACCCAAAACTTAAATAATGAAGCACGTACCTTCATTTTTATTCCTAAAAACCTTGGCTAAGGTTGTTTTGGGTGTCATCCCTTTTGGCGCAAACTAAGCTCTTACCATCATGGATTCCTGGCATTCAGTTAAGTTATAGGCGTACTTAGCAAAAAATTGCCAAAATCTAAACATCAGACTTTTCTTGATTTCTTTTCTTAAGTTGGATAGATTTGTAGCTCTCTCTCTCTCTCTCATCGATTTCTGCAAATAACTGAATTGACGATACTTCCCTGAAGTTCACATTTACAGTGTATATCTGGTTTCCGACGTTATAATTTGTATTGAACGTGGACATATTTTTAAGGAGTCAAGAATCTACCGATTGCAGATAGCAAAAGCATATCTATTTCTCGATCGCTCAAAATCTTGCAAGAATTAGCAAATTTGATCAGAATTCTGTCCACAGCATTTGGGAAACATTGGTAACTACTACCGCAATGGACTTTTCCCAATTTTTATATAAACAAAACCTAGCTTTGAACGAACATCCTCCTCGTCTGTAGAAATAAAACATCTCGCTTTGTGAATCTGCTCCTTTAGCCTATATAGGTCTACTTTCTTTTATTGCTTACTTTTTAAATACCACTGAAGATTTGATCCCAAGTATACTTTTTAAAAATACCTATCATACTTGATCATTGGATTGAGAATTTTCGGAGTTTTGCAAACTGCATTACTTGAATTCGACACTACAAAATCAAAAAGTATAACTGTGGAGCATCTTCGTCACTTAATGTTTTTGGGACAGGCATCGTAAGCCGCCTCACCACCACTAAAACGTGACGGGTAATTCAAAGTACACAAATATCTTGGCAGCAATGCTTTAAGTTTCTAATCTGTCGGGTCGCAATGAGAAAGAGACCACCGAACAGCACGCCAATTAGTAGACACACTATTCAAACCCATTTAATCTGGATTTAGCCTTTCAACATCTTCTCTTTTAAACTTAGTCATTAAATTACAATTACAATAATAGAAAATTGCCTCGAATGTACAAATGAACCGACTAATTACCAATAACATCGCTTTCCATTATTGCTGAAAGCACTAAGCTAAGGTTGTGTGGCCTGTGCGGCGTTAGCCTTGCGTTTGCCTGTGGATGGCGTGCGTTCATTGGTTTCTGTAAATTTAGGGTTTTGGTTGGCTCTCCACACCTCAGTTTCTATTGATTGGCTCTAGGCTTTGCAGCCCGTGGCCATCGCCGTTGCTTCAAGGTTGGCAGGCGAATAAATTGAATCAGCAGCTGGTTATCCGCATTCATCTCCCGTTGCACTACGCGCCTCAAGCAAAATGGTACGTCAAACTTTAATTTAGCCATTATGTGCTGCATAAATCTGGCGCGTTTTGTCGTGATACCATTGAGGACGTGTCGTGGTACGCGTAAATCAGTTCCAAGACTAACGTTGTACTGCCTTTCTCCAACTTTTGTAACGTTAGTAGACACAATTTGGCACTAATTTCATGTCAAGGAATTTACCTAACCAGATTCTGGTGCCTTGCCAAATGGCTGCTAAGCCAATTTATTTATTTAATGCGTCTAACATAGCGATTCATTCAGACGATCCACTTCATTATTTGTAGTTTGGGTACTTCAGAGTGCCCCTAAACCCCGGAGTTTTGTGGCTTCACTAAACGCCAGCACGGCATACATTGAGATATTTCATTGCAGAATTGTGCCAAAAAATAATCACTTGACAAGCAGATGCATCTGAAATCAGCATTTTAGCTAGTATCCACATAAAGGTCAATGTTCGGTCCGCAGAGAAATTGCTTAATTAAGTGAAAAGAAGAAGGAAAAATGTGTGGTGAACTAGCGAGCGTGCTTTTGCAAAGTTGAATACAGATTTTTCCATAATTCGGGAAAATATGTTGATTTTCTTAACTAACTCAACACCATTTTCAACGTCAGCTAAACCATGCACAAAGAGAGCTTAGTTTGAGTGAATTGTGATGGAACATGCAAGAAGTTGCAACCTTGAAATTGAGGTTTTGACGAAGTTTTCAGTTGGTACCTAGCTATTAATAATCTGACTTTGTCCACTAAAGTAACTATTGATTCCTTAATGTTTTCTTTTATTTACAGCCAAAACTCTTACCCATGACGTTAGTAAGGCAACCGGAACCAAACTAATCTTGAGTTCTTGGCATTCAGTCTAACAAATCACGCCGGTGTGCTATTTACAAGTGATTCGGAAACGCCCTGAGCTTGCCACCTTATTGTTGTTTTTAAACGGAGACGTTTCCGTATGTGGGTAAACCACTCAAAAATGAGTTGATTTGATTGTCCTTCTACGTTGGAAGCCTAGAACTCGCGTTATTGCCCCTTAAAGGTGTCGAGCTTGCTTTCAATGAACCAATAACGGTCCTGATTCTAAGGCAAAGCGTCGAGATGTGGCGTGTGCACGGTGTCCTTCTGGTGAGGGTCAGCACGTTTATCGGCTGATATTCTGCCCTCAGAATTGGTTATTCGCGTTCGCAAAAAAACATGCTTAAGTGAAGACCGTGTTTTTGTCTTTTGTTTCTCAGTCCACCAAAAAACTACTTTGAACCACTTAATTTGTTTGCTTAATCTTAAGATCGCACTCCACATCCCGTGTGATTTCTTTTGCCAGAGTTACTGAAGGGAGCCGGCTCAGGTAATTGGCAACCAGTTGACCTCACCGGTGTACTCAAAACATCCTGCCAATCTTTGAATTGGAGCAAATGCACTCGCAAATATTTACGACATGAAATTTTCAAACGCCAATCACTTTCACTTAAGGCCAATAAATTTGTTTACCCCTGCCTCTTGGGTTGTTTTGAAACACATAGGAAAAACCAGATACTTCATAAGCATATACGTGTATAGTTTAGGTAGACTAGTGCCCCACCTCACTAGGTAATTTTAACAAAAAGTACCAGCTAAGGAAGATCAAATAGAACTACTTACAAATCAACGTTGACCCAATTGACCTGTTTTATAGGTGCTCATGTTCGTTCATTAGTGTAGTGGTTGGGTGTTTTTTAAAGCTCAGTCCCAGTACATCATTCTTGGTACATTTTGCCTTTCAGAAGGGTCTTAGTGGACCACTGGTTTTGTCAATCTTTACAACGTGCTTTGGTTCGTCATTTCTCTTGGGTTACAACCTGGGCGTCGTTAACTTACCAGCAGATGTAAGTTCTTCAGTTTGGTTACTTTAAACTCCACTTGTAGGAGGTAGTTTTGATTATAATTTATCTTTGTTAAAAAATCTCGAAATTTATCGGAACCGTTGTAAACATTGATGTGGGTAACACATGATCCTTCATACGTAACTTTTCCTTGTGGCTGCTTGTAACATATCTAGACTATCAGTTACGGTTTAATATGCTACTTGGTCCAAAGTACTGGAGTTATAAGGCTAATCACAGACTCACTGCTAAACAGCACGTACCATCTAAATAATTATGTAAGGCAACTTGAAAAGTTTAGGCTTGAGTCCCAACTAAGGTGCATTTACAACAATTTATTATTTCAGCAATTGACTGTTTTTTTTAATTATATACTGACTTTACAATAACTTTAAAAAATTTGGTATTTATAGCAGCATAGCACTTTGGGTGTTAGACTGCAAAAACATCAGTTTTTCTGCGACTTAAAGGATTTGTTTCTAAAGGATATTGTAGTTCTTGGGGCGTCAACCGAGCTTTGCAGTCAGTGGAAATAACGATAGAGCAGAACAACTTGTTGGTTCAAATTATTATGCTTTCGTTAATTTTTTCAGTAATCCGACTCGTTGCGTGGTTTACAAAAATGAATGGCACCTAATTTAATTCATTAGATGTTTTCGTTGAAAGTTGCTTGGTTTGTTAGTAGTAGGTGGGTGTAAAAATCATCACAACAGACACCGTGACCTTCAACTTCTGAGGCACGAATGCGCGTTCGTTAATATTCCCAGGATGTAGTTTACTCACTAATAAAACTTTTCTCCGCCCACATAGGTAAACTTTTATTGCAATTTTGTTCATGGTCATACGCATTAGGCTCCATTATTTGCAATAATTTATTTTCTTTCGTTTCCCCAGAATATCAAAAAGTTTCTCTCTGAATACTATAATTCGAATGAGACATCGTTTCCGAACCCTGATTTCCTCTATGGTCAGACGTCCTCTGTGTTGGTGGCCTGTGCCGCAATCGCAGCCTTTACCTGCGGTTGGGTTGCAGACGGCCTTGGCAGGTAAGTGAGGTGGTTTGTCTGAAGTGCATTTCGACGGTTCCACTTGTACCAGACAGCCATTCATGCTGCTAATCAGGCATGGATACAATCAGCAGACCTGACAATTCGTTTCTCGACTCTGAAGTGCAGTAAACGGCATCCGTCCGGCGTGAATGAGGGCGAAGCTTTCCCTGCATTGTCATCATCCCCACGGTAAACCCAGGACTGCGGTTACCTTTTGGCTGCAGTGCCGAGGAGCAGCTTCAATGCTTCTCCATTGAGGGGAGAGAATGAGGGCAGCTTAGCATAATTGATTTCTAGCAAACCATTTTCCGTGTTTAATATCTGTCCAAGTCTGTGTGGTCCATTCTTGTATGTCAATCTAATCTTAATCCTTGTGACACCAACTAGAATCCGGTTCATTTTTTCTTGAGGGATTTGCGTTAATTTGATCAAAAATACAAGATAATTAACATAAATGTAACCCCGTGTTTACTGATTGAGAATTTAGATGATTATTTTCAAATTATTGCAAACCACTAATATGAAATCCACAATCGCCGTCGTGTTTCGAACACGATATTAATGATTTTGAGCTTCCTTTTTTTCCTCGCTTACAGAAAACGCAGCCTCATGATAAACAACGTGATTGGTATTGTCGGTTCGGTGATCTCCTCTGTCTGCCTCGTGGCAAATCAGCCGGCCCTGCTGTACGTCGGCCGTGCAATCAGTGGTGTGAACTCCGGCTTGAGTATTGGCATTGCCGCCATGTTTCTTACAGAAATCGCTCCACGTCACCTGCGGGGCATGATTGGTGCTTGCAACCAGTTGGCTATCACAATCGGCATTGTCGTTTCCTATTTGCTGACTCTAACTCACCTCCTGAACAGACCTAACTTGTGGCCTATTGCCATGGGGATTGGTGCGATTCCCGCTGCGATCGCTTTCATCATCTCACCCTTCAGTATTGAGTCACCGCGTTGGCTATACCTCAAGAAGAAGGACGAGGAGGGTGCACGATCGGCGTTTGTGCGTATAAGCGGTTCAGAAAATGTGGACATGTTTATTGCTGAGATGCGCGAGGAAATGGAGGTTGCCAGGAATCAGCCGAAGTTCAGGTTTATTGAGCTCTTCCGCCGAAGAGATCTAAGAATGCCTGTCATCATTGCCGTTCTCATCCAGGTGCTTCAGCAACTTTCAGGCATCAACGCAGTAAGTTTGTGTCTTCAGACTTCAGCAAGCATAAAATGAGTCAGTTAATTTTATTCCTAATAGCGGATCTTGAGTTCATTCAGAGAACTTTCTTCGTCGTAATTTCGCCTTATTAGACTACGTACGCCATTTTTTTCAGCAAGTACCTTCTACAATGGATGTCAAATTTTTTTTTTACTTAAATGGCATGCATTTCGAAGCACCAGATTTAGTTGACCATCATAAATCCACGACTTGTGTCTGTAGTTTGTGTGTGAAATTGCAAACTGCTCGTTACCACATTCCGCTGACCGAATTAAACACTGACCACTTACTCTTGGCTTTCTAATTACCTAATTGTTTGCACACTTGTCTTATAATTGCAGTCATAAGTAGAAAGATGTTAATTTCAAATCCGCATTTGCTGCGGATCACATTGTATGATGGAGCCTCGGACGCAATGTTTTATTGCTTAAAATTTTGTCCCAATCACAAAAAAAGGCTAGCAGGATGTCCCTTCACTACAGTATTTTCACTAATTAAAATCACTGATGAACCACCATTTTTGTGATTTCATATAACAAAATAAAACAAGGCCTATGTCTAATCAATGTTACTTCTAGTAGCTCTTCACGTTGCTGCAGTTCTTACTTTTTTGCGCAATGACTAATATCTTGCGTGGCACTTTATTGGCAGCCTGCTTTTGTTAAATTAGAAGTACCGTTCTCACAATTTGTATAGTTTTAACCTAATGCAAAACCCGTCGAAGTGGTCAAACCTCGGAATTTTGATCTAAGGCCTGTGTGTGATGCAACCAAATAGCTTTTAACTGCGCACTTCTATCGCTAACCTGGGCAAAATGTTGATACATTGAATCGTCACTTGTAACAATTTGGCAATATGAGACAAAGCCTTGAGTATTTTGTGGAACCCGTGGCAGGCTTATCTCAACCTCAACAATCGATTATCTTGTTACTTTGATAACAAGCCTGAGAAACTTTGACCTCAAGGCGTAATGTCTTAAGACGCATCTGGAGTAAAATCGGATCTTTTTGATTAGCAAAAGACGAGTTAACTTCAGATTTTTGATGATGAATTAATGGAAACTGCTTGATAGCATTATGTTTGGCATGTGTGTTTAATTTTTCGTACAACGTGATGTCTTAATTAACTATTTACTTGTATTTTAAAATGTTTAGTTCTTGATTTAGATGTGCCACGAAATCTAAATTGGTATCTCTCAAATTACCCAAAGTCGTAGTTGGATTTACAATACTTAAAAATGAAATGAAATGATTTAGTAAGTACAGAAAACTGCCTTTGTGAGCCTTCTGGCTTTTGTTCCTGTTGTCATAGGAAGATGAAATGTTATCTGTTTGAGGTAGGAAAGGGCAAACAAAGCTCGTCTTATTTATATGGTGAGGAGCTGGTGTACCTAAATTTTCACGTAGCGTTTTGCTTTTTGTGAACAGCAGCAATGTCTGACAAGATTCTATTGGACAAGTGTAGTTTGATAGCCTGCACGCCTCATATTCTTTATTGAATAACTGAAGTACGGAATATAGGACAGTGACGAACCCTACCAATATTTCAAGTGAATACAAGCTTTCCGAACTATTACAAGTTTCCACTTTTTGAGTAGGCCTCATTCCTATTTCAGCCAGAGTATGCACAAATAGTTTTTGGTCAATAAAGTGCGATGTTTGAGTACTTATCTAGTCACTCTCTTCAGGTAATTGCAAATTCATCAGAGATGTTGAAAGGCGCCAAGGTTATGCCCGAAATGCTGCAATACTTTGTGGTCGGCCTCGGTCTGCTGAACGTTATCTGCACTATCGTAGCACTGCCCCTGCTGGAGAAGGCAGGTCGTCGAACTCTTCTCCTTTGGCCAACCCTCGTGGTTGCAGTTACCCTCCTCCTTCTTGTTGTCTTTGTAAACATCGCTAATCAGGAGGTCGATGCTACCAAAACGCCCTTCACACTCATTTCAGCGGTTCTCGTGTTCGTCTACATGGCGGCCTTCGCGATGGGTCTCGGCCCGATGCCTTCATTGATCGTCGCCGAGATCTTCCGGCAGGGACCTCGCGCGGCGGCGTACTCCCTCAGCCAGAGTATCCAGTGGGCCTGCAACCTCATTGTTGTTGCCTCTTTTCCCTCTCTAAACGTAAGTCAGAGATGCTCGACAAGTGGAAATTTTGTCCTAAATTTCCATCTCTAGACCGAACTCTTTACCACGAAAAGTGGAGCAACTAGTGTTTAACACGCACTTTTAGGGGTTCTGTTAGAGAAAAGTAATGGAAGTTCACGGCTCACATTAGAATTCCTGTGCTCTAGGTTCTATTTACCTAAGACTGAAGAAATTAGATAATAAAATGACCCGAGGCACCGAAGGCAACAGTTTATTTAAACACTCGGACAGAGTCAACGGTGATTAACATGCACACGAAAATATATGTGTGTGTGTAAAGGTACGAAGGTGAAAGGAGCGAAGTAACTATGGGTGACAAAATGAGAGTCGGTGTAAGAGATCAAGAGTCTGGTAACTTTCAAGGTATAGTGCTCAGAACTTTACGCTAGTGTAACAATTAATCTTCGTCTTTGTTTGGTTAAGCGTTTGTGATTCATGTGCCACGTTAAGAGAATTTATGCTCGTTTGGAATGTTGTCTTCATTTGGGTATTTTGGAAATACTTCGACAACTGGTCAAATTCCTCAAAAGTCGCTCATTTGGCCTTTTCTCTTTTGGCTGAGTTTATCGTATTATGATAAATGCCCTTCTTGTTGAAAAATCATACATTTATTTGTAGTTAAGGAGACACAATTAAATCGAAAAATCACCAAACAAAGTATGATAGTTAATGCAGATTTGAATTTGAACGAAATCCCTATTAGACTTGCCCTCGTTAACGCTTGTAAATAGCCTGACCATATTAAGCTACTTTAATGTTTATGGTAGGCGAACCATAAACTTGTCATCGTACACTTCAGAGTCTACTGAAGGGGTATGTGTACTTGCCCTACCTGGTGGTGGTGGCGTCCTGCTGGGTGGTCTTCTTCCTCTTCATGCCGGAGACGAAAAACCGCACCTTCGACGAGGTGGCCCGCGACCTCGCCTTCGGCACAATCGTCGTAGGCAAGCGCACCGCCGCCCTCCAGTCCCCAGTCTTCACGAAGGAGGAGGACGAGGAGGCGGGAGTGGCCCTGCAACCCGCCGCCGCCGCCAAGTCCTCTCTCGCAGCAGATGCCACCGAGGAGGAGGACTGCGTAAAACTGTAGTGTGCAGCTCGCAAAAGACACATTGTTTTAAGTCGCCAGCCACCCCCCCTCTTCTTCTCACGCAATCGGTTTTCTTCACTGAAAACACCCTAACTCTGGTCATCGACGAACTCAATGTCATTCTACTTTTCTGTAGATTTTAACAGTTAGTACAAGTTTCAGACTAGTTTTTAAAATTGGCCTTGTAATTCACCTTTTAGCAGGTGAAATGATTTTGATCGTGAAGTCTAGATGACCACGTCAAGTTTACGAACAGTTAACGCCTCTGTCGTCTCTAGGGTGCTTAAATAAGTTCATTCAATGGAGTTTATCAGATGTGTGTGTGTGTGTGTCTAGGGCACGTCCTGACCCCTCGGTCCATTCAAGTGGAGTCAAACGCCATTTTTAATTTAAAACAAAATATATCGATGCGAAAACATGGTAGTGTAAAAAATTCATCTCGAACATCACTTTTGCGAAACTAGGTAGACATTTATTTTGGACAAAGTCAACACAAAAGATAAGATCCCACTCATTATGTTATATCCTGTCCGATAGCTTAACTTTGTTTTGTGAAAATAGCGTAGTGGTGTGAGTTTAAATGATTTTTTTTCAAATTGATCAATTGCTCCCGTCTAGAACAGTCATCCACCTTGTACAGTTGACATTTTGTGAGCAAAAGACCGCGTCTGCAGAGACAAGATATGTCAAGAGAAGTTGTTTTAAAGCCTATAGAATCACAGGCAAGGTCGTAACTTTAACAATGTTCACAATTTTGCAAGGGAATGCAGATTTGCACCTACAATTTGGAGGTGTTTATTTCAACGTGAATGTGCGTTCATAGTGACTATATTCCTCCGCATCAACGTGACAAAATTTCGCAAGTACATTACATGCGAAATTAACTTGCAAGCTCGCACCGTGGAAACAGTCCAGTGAATTTGAGCGACGTGACTTTCCAACGGCAAAACAGTGCACTGTTAAACGTGCTCTTTCGAAAATCTTCGTTGCAAGGCTTGACGAATTTGTCGGCCGCTCTTCTGCTTCGCCGTCGCAGCAACAGGATTTAACTTCCTCCTGATGTCTTTTGACGAGCGAAGGGTCTGTGACTGACAAAAGCTAAATAAGTTCAGCTTTCGTGACATCGCTATCAAAGCACATGGCATTTGTATTTAACTCAGGGTCTTAGATAAAGTGATTGGTACAATTTTACCAAGTTAAAGTAAAAAAGATTCAGAAATTTGAATCTGATGTGCTTTGGGAATTAAAAAAGCGTTGTGCTGACCCGATGCAATTTAATCACATGGTTTAAGCAGAAGATTTTTCAATCCATTGGAGCGTTTATCTCAGAACTAGTCAAATAATGAAGGTCAACTAGAGCAGTAACGTTTGGTCATTCTCATGACGTACGTAGACTGAAAGTTTCATATATTTAATCAGAGCCAACTAAACGGACCTTTTACTCACAGGGTACAAATGTTTATTTTGTCAAACGGTTCTAGCATTAGCAGTCATTGTTGACAACTCAAGCCTTAATTCCCACCACCGCTCTCTGTGCCGTGGTGTGCAAGTGCGAAATTGGACTTGAGCGCAAACCCTAAATCTAAGGCTTCATTAACAATTCCTTGTCCTTACATTCACAGCGACGGGCCCCAACCACTTGTGGTAAAACGGTCCATTTTCCAAATTTGTACAAATCAGCATAAATCTCGTTATGCAAGCTTTCATAGCTTGAACAGGGTATCCGTAGTTGCCGTCACAATATCGTAATTAACACGCCGATGGGGGCGTGGTACCATGTCCTCACATGGGCTCTGTGCCAGTGGCCTATTCAGCGAAGATTTCCCGCTGTACTGGTGGCATTTCAAGACGTTATGTTGACCTCACTTAATGTCTGTTGCAAAATCACCATGTTGCACTCAACTGTGTTAAGTTGACCCAACTTATTGAACTTGGGGTGATTAAATCAAAGCTGCTCCACGTACTGGTCTTTGAGGTAATACTCATTTCCATCGCCTAGGCTAACTATTCATTTAATTGCGTGAAGTGGGTACTCTTATCAACCACACTATTCACGATGACAATCAGTCCGCCAATGGCTTACCTAGCCGAGGGGTCGTCAGCCCAGAAAATGCTACCACTTTACTTTGTCGCCCCCTCGTGTACACTCTCCTGACCACACTGGACAATCGTCAAAGAAGTGCAATGCCGCCAGCGGATGTGGAGCCTGAACCCACGTTAGGTTCACCTATTCCTTGTTACTATTTTGCTTATTGAGGCTTTTCCTTCTATGGTAACGTCTTAAATGTCTTGTGAATTTGAGGTTGATTTTACCAAATTAATTTCTGTTAGCAGGTGTCGAAATTTCATGTTTTAAAAACCGAGCCTGCTTGCATTTCAAGGAGACAGGAGTCATTTTGATTTATGCATGCCTGCATCTAACTTATCACATCTACCACACTTACTTGCAGTAAAAATTTTCCCGTTTAGGTCAACTATTTGTAATGAAGCAAGTATTTAGAAAAGCCAACCCTATAGAGGAGCCGAAGCGCTTGAATGAGAGAGGTCAAAAGTTGAGCACCTATTAGAGCATCTGGCCAAGATTACCTTAGAGTGTGTACTTTCAACTCTCATCCCAGGCGAAACATATTTTAATACCTGTTTGACGTTCTCGCATAAGGCTGGAAGTTACTTCAGTTAAACATTCGTGTGTAGTAACATTCGGTAGAACTGCAGTTTGACGTTATCAAAACAACCGAGAAAATCCATTTTTCCTTTTACCAATGACCTGTGCATTTGGCTGCATGCCCGTATTAGTCGCCGCACTAGAGAACGCTGACAAATGAAGATTAAATCGATACAGTGTCTTGTACAAAATGAACCACAACATTAATTTGTCCAAGTTGTCAAAATTAAGTCTTTGTTAAACCTACTCATCCAGAATGGCTAGCGGTAAATTATCAGTTCAATATAGTAGGCTCAACTTTACCATTTTAATGGTTATTCAATAGGTTAGTCGTCTTTAAAACAATACCCTGTTATCCTTCATTTTAATACTTCAAATGTTTGAGCTGTCAATGCCGAAATATTGTTTATGTTAGCCTACTTAGGAATCAGAATGAAGTGGGGATCACTTCATACACAAAATTTTGCTTGAATACCACCAACTAAGTAAGTTATATTGAGCACCTGGAGTGTTTTTTTTGAAGCAAGCTGTAGGACATTTTGTGTGTTCAGAAGTGTTCCCAACTTCCGACTAGGAGTTGTATTACTTTTAAAACAAGCTAGCGATCAAGGTGGAAGTTCTTATTTTTCAAATTAGTGTTAACGATGGGCAGCCTAATCGGAAGCCATGCTACAACGGTTGGCCTAAACTTATGTGATTGTCAGCACAAATGGAACGGTGGAGAGTAACAAAATTAGTGCAATTTCATTTGATGGAGAGCTATTTATGTCACCAAAACTCAACGAGGACATTACTTGCCAGGTGCACGCTTTCATCGGTGGATGTTGCAGTAAAAGTTTAGCGCGTCCAAGTAACAATATCCACGGATTAAACGAAATGCATTTAGTGTTTAAACAGCTGCAAAGTTGTAGGGTGGAACTTCAAAATTTCCCACACTATGCACTGGACACGGAAGAATCTATTCCGAATGAGACTTTTAGTAGTATTTCACGACTTAGATGCAAGGGAATCTGTCTATTTGAACTGATGAAATCCTTATAAAGCTTTGCGTTCAATACCTGACACCTTTCGGTAATTTTCGAAATTACTTTAGCGAAATAAATTTTCTTCCTTGCAACAAGCATTATAATTTGCATGAAAATAAAAACTATCTTAAATAAAGCTCGATTGGACAAGTATTTATCAGAAAAATTGATTTATATTTCATAATGATTTACCGAAAGGTTTGCTTTTTTGTAAATGGAGGTGTCTCCATAGTGTGATGCTCGATTTCCTTTCCAATGCGGAATTTCGGATCTTCTCAACCCATACAAGAACACTTTCTGTGAAATAAGGCTTTATTTGAAAGTAAATGGCTGGATATTTTTCCTGGCTATTGCCATTTGTGTCTAGTTGGCTAATTTGATAACCTCACTAGAATGGGCATTAAAGTCTGCCCTAGCGCTATTGTTGTCGCCGGAAAGTATTTTGGCAATTTCGTCAAATGATTTGTTCCTTGTTTCTGGCATCACAAAGAAGAAGAAGGTCCAACAAAGTACGACCACCACAAGGAAGGGGAGGTACACGAAGCCAGCCATAGCTTTCTGAAATAGATATTATTAAGAGAGCCTTTAAAGTGATTTCATGTAGCGTCAGCATCACGTTGGTGTTGCATTTCTTGCTTAACATGGTACAACAGCACGAATCGTGCTCACTAGAGAGCAGAACGCATTCCGCTTGCATGAAATCACCTACGTTAGTCATTCATCTATATTCTTCAATACGGTTTTAAAGTTATCACGAAAGATGCTAATCTTGAGTGACAGCCCGCACAATACCAGGGGGTTCTGGAGGTTGGCTTCAACGTCGTTTGCAGTGAAAAAGCCTACTCACGTTGAGGGGCGGAAAAGTAGCAAGGACCGCAAGGTTGCAGAGCCACTGTACACCCTGGCTAACGGAGTAGGCTGCAGTTCGCGGACCCTGGCGGAAGATTTCGGCAACAATCATGGCGGGGATGGGACCAAGACCGATGGCGAAACAGGCGAGGTAAACGTAGACCATGGTGACAGCTACGATAGCAAACGGCGCTTGTGATTCCGGCGGTTTGCTGCGCACAATGGTAACGACAATAGTTTGGGTGAGCAGGCAGCCGGCTAGTAGAAGCGTAGGCCAGAGTAGAAGAGTTCGCCGACCGGCTCTTTCGAGCAGCGGCAGCGCGACAATAGTGCAGACCACATTAAGTGCTCCCAGACCCACAACGAAGTATTGCATTTGATCTTCTCTCGCTTTGGCTGACGCCAGCATTGTCGATGAATTGGCAATTACCTGGAAAACCACAGTTTCTGAATTAACTTGCTCTCTGTCGACAATTAAACTGTGGCTCAAATGCCAATTCTCCCTAGAAAGCACGTTAATAGGCACTTAGCTTATGAGTTAAAACGAGGTCACGATCCTTCACATCAGTGTTTAAGCAATGGGCGACGCGAAAATGTGCGTCTATCAAGGTCGTCGTCTTTATTTGCACGTTAAGTTGTAACAAAGTCATATACACACCTCTACCACCACACGCTAGAAATATGCAAAGCAGATTGCACTTTAATGGAAACGTTGCTTATAATGTCTTGGTGACTGTAGGAATCAGTTCTGCCTTATTTCTGCCCACTTTTCATTTCGTTCCCAGCAAGTTTAGCGTTTCATAATATGCAGGGGAAAGGCTCGAAAGTCTGACCACAGCACTTAGAGGATAATGTCTATTCACAGCTTGTAAAAACCTCGTTCAACTATCAGGATACAACACAATTCCCTTCTATAAAGTTTTAGGTGCGCTTAAATCAAGATGGGAAGTTTTTGGTATTATCTGATCACATCCAAGTAATTTTTAAATGTCTACCTCTGACCCAAGTGTTTTGATTGTGGACTTGCTCCACAAATTCCAAGAGGCCATATCTGCACATTACTTTAGAGGGCAAATCAGTGATATTTTCTAGCTATTATTTTAAATTAAGTAGAAATAGTTGAAATCGCACCGCATTAATTCCGGAGAGCTGTTGGAGTACTTGAACAAGAATGGCGATGGCTGTCGGTTTCCTATACTCACGTTTCGTGAAGAGGTACGAAATTTTGAAGGCCGGTTGAGCGTTTGCAGCTGCGACTTCGTCATTCATTTCTTTAACGAAGTCGTCTGCACTTTCCTTTCCAGAAACTTTTAGATAGATTTCCTTTGCGCTGTCTGGGTTCTTTTTGATCAAAAACATGTAGCGGGCACTTTCAGGACAAAGTGGAAGAAGAATAAGACCTAACACACACGGAATTGCGCCTATTCCGATTGCGTAAGCCCAGCGGCCCTTGGTATTTAGCAGATTTTCCAAAGTCATGACGTAGGAGATGAAAATTCCCATTGTAACTGCTAGCTGGTGACAAGCACCGATCAAGCCACGGAGGTTGGTGGGCGCCATCTCCGTGAGGTACATCGATGCCACGCCGATTGTAATGCCAGCATTGAGGCCAGAAATGAAGCGCCCAACAAAGAGCACTATTGCATTATCCATAGCAACACAAAGGCCTGAAATGACTGCGCCGAGGAGCCCAAAAGAGGTGTTCAAGAGCAGACTCTTTTTCCTACAAAAGAAAATTCAATTAGTTTTGAAGCCTAAGAATAAGTGAGCAATTTCCTGGCTGAACTTTTCATTCGTAGTAATCTGAATACGTCAAAGTTTGCCTGTATGGGCTTATTCAGGCTTTATTTAAATAAAGTCGCTTGTGCTACTTATACACCAAAGCTAAGAGGCTCAGCAATTTTTTTATACAATTTTAAGCAAGATTTGGAACCAACGGTTTCGAATTTATTAAAGACTTTTTCGCTTTGATAAAAACAGTGTGCTGGTCTGCTTAAAACTGCAAAATACTACTGACCTTCCGAGTTTGTCAGCTAGAATACCGCAACTGAATGCTCCAATAGCGGCTCCCACAATAAAAATCACACTTATCATGGCATACAACGTTTCCTTGTTGCCTTTGGGCATGTGATGAATCAAAAAGTCCTCGATATGCTGAAACCGTAAATAATTAAATGCGTTTTGCGAGTTTTATTAGCTTATCATGTCAACATAATAAAAGATTAAGTCGGTGGAACATCGGGACCCGATACCTTTTACTAGTGGACATCTTACTTTTTGATAGAACTACTTAACTAAAGGAGAACAATATTTCAAAGTGATTTGGTATAGTTTTTCACACCGTTGACACCAAAAAGTTGCAGTCTACTTAAATGCGTATCATCGCCGTGTCAACAGCCATCAATTAAAAGTTCCAACTTTTTCAAATTTATACTGCTTATTCAACCAAGTGAGGGTATATTCAAATGATGTGAGTCATTTTGTTAATATTCTACACTTGACTTCTTCATATCGCCAACGACTATTTTACAGCAATATTTAACATTTGATTTTTGTGCCAGTAGCATCAGATTAAATATAATTTTATTGGTCTACATAACGAGTGGTTGAATATGTGGTCTCCGTGCCCATATGGCTCACTAAAATTGCGAACTTACCTTCGCTGGTAAATTAACAATTCCCAGGTTATAGCCCATCATAAATGATGAACTTATACATGTTACGAAAGTTGCGAACAGCAGGGTAAATGTAAGCGCCTGAAATTTTAAAAAAGATTCTTTAATTTATTTCAAAAAAAATTAGAGTTAATAGCGTGAAAACCTACCATCGTGTCAGCACTTCACCGGCGAAACTGCACAAAATCTTGATTCGAACACTTTCGAAAACGTGCGATCGATATACCCGCGAGCAAATCATGTGACATTTCACAAGGTGCTGGTGATGCATTTTGCAAGATGAGTAGATGAAGCGCGTCCGAATGTTTTGTTTATGACCAACGCAGCTTTAATGTCGCTGGTGGTAAGCCAGCGTTCAGAATCGCATCATAGTGCAATTTCGTAATGCTGTGTGTCGATCAGCCCCTACTGCCAAATCACAAGACATAAATTTAAAATAATATGAACCTTTGAAATGGTACATATAATTCACGCCTGCCATGCATACATTAAAACTTGTTAATAGGGGTTTGTGATGTTGGTGAAATAACACAAAAAATATCTACGAATTAGACCACCGAATATGAACACGTAAAATTCAAGTTAGTATTTTGGTCGATTGCTTCATATAAACTTCGATCGGGTGAGTTAAACATATCTTCAGAAAATCCTTGTTGGTGAATATAAATTATTTGAATGTCTTAGATACGGAAGCTGACAAAAGTAAAATGCACTACGACTCAGGAGAAAACACTTGAAAGTGTAAATTTATGGTTTGATTAAATTTTACCGATTTCGGTGAAATCAATTTCAAAATTTTTACCCAGCCTCATTGAGTAATTGGGAAATAAGTTGGTCGATGATGTAAACCTCTATCGACATACCAAGACTGAGCCGACTTTACTTTAGGGTGAGTTTGCATCGGGTACTAGGCTGCTAGGGAAATAAACTTTGGTCAGTATGAGCTGTCTCGATAATTCACTTAACCCAAATGCCCTGTACTTTTTTTACAAAAATTTCCCACCAATGCAAATAACGCTTTTCAATCGTAAGCAGAAATTTGCTTTGGAAGAAACAACGCTTGCATGTGTCAAGAGCTAAGAATTTTCAGTCGAAGTAGTTCGGCTTAACCAATCTTGGTGAAAATGTCCACAATATTTTAGACCAGGCGCCGCATCACTGTGGTGTCCACTTCTAGGAGGCCAATCAAAGGTCACCTAGAGGGCTCTTTTTAGTTAACAGGGCACACACCTCAGCTGAACCGACGGACACGTCGAATAGTGTCCCCTCATAACTGTACGAGGTCGAGTCTAAATGGTACAAGAATGTTGTCCCAAAATGTGCCTGTGGTCAAATGCAGAAAGGAGAAATGAAAGTGGGCCAGTGAAGGGAGCAAGATCATTTTTGAATGCAAATTGAGATTGTGAAAAATCAGAAACTGCGCAAGTTGTTGCCAAATTTGAGTGAGCAGAATGTACCTTAAACTAGAGCGAAAACCCTTGATACTCTGAATGAATATCTGCTAAAAAGGAGCAAAACGTGTCACCGACGTAGCTTGTGTTCCTCATATTCTTAGTACTCTTTAATAAAATTTAATTCTCCAGAGAGCATTAAGAAAATACAAAACGCGATTAGGTATACCTGATTTTGCATTGTACTAAAACGTACCTATGGTGGTTCCTCATGCAGACTTTGACTGCATTTTAATTTTGAATTTCTTTACCACAGGTAGGATTCGTTAGATGCAAATTATTATACAAAATCGACCGATGCATGAATGTATTCAGTAGCTCTTTTGATCTCCGTTTGTACAAATACCTCATTTCTTGAATCGCCTAGTTGCCTTGGCAAGATTCCAAAGGACCATTTACCGAAAATGGCGGTGTAAATTGAGTTTAGAAACTAAAGAGAAAACAAACTGAGGGAAAGCGAGTAAATTTGGGTGCTGTCAGTTGTATGAGTGGGCACGTCAACGATAGGTGGCATACAATAGGCTTTTAGGGTAAAATCTCCAGTGGCTTTTTAATAAAATGAAGGAGCATCCACTTACCAGTAGACACCTTCATTGCAAAATTCATCTTTAAACTTGTGAGTGAGAATCGTTTTTAGACCTTGATCTATTCATAAAGGTTTGAATTTTATACTGCCGAGTGATTAATTTAACTAGGCAAATATAGGGTTTTAATTTCCATTCACTTGTCATCGCAACAACACAAGCACATGACTGTTTTGGGTTGTCAAATGCAGGCACATCACTCCAAAGTAGGGCCAAAAAGCGGCCCCTACCACGCATTGCTCATGGGCATTAAATGTCACAATGCTGCATTCTATCCTACACTGCCTCTTACTGCATTGAAAGTGGAGTTAGACCGACATTACAAAGTAGAGTGACGTTAATTCCTTTCATTTGCGCCTCGACCCCAGACACTAAAAATCCACAGTCGACACCTCCAATTACCAGCGTGATACTGAAAGTCAATCAAAAACACTGATTAGACAAGTTCCAGGAGCGGCAAGTCCTCTTGTCATTCAATCCACTTGTACTCCGTGATAACATGGCAAGATTAAATATGTGGAGCCTCACCTCAGAGAGCAAATCCACATACACGCAACACGTTTTTATACTGAGTCTGACAAGAATCACCCTCACCATAACTCAATTAACCCACACTTTCAGGTCTAGTAATCAACAACGAATTTGAAAGAGACACCGCTCACCACATCACTTTCTGGACTTACGCACGTCTCTGGAACTGAATTCACATGATTAGTTTTTCTATAATTCACTGTTGGTCGTTGAGGGAGACACAAAAACCCACAACGCGTAGTGTGGCTATGTTGAAGCACGTCGCAAGTTGCGACACTCAAAATTTTTTACGTGAAAAGTTCGACAACTCCAACGCATTTCTGTGTACAAGCACATGCATGCGGATGGCTTAGCGTCCTAAAAACGAGCAATGAGCCAGTACGAATGCGTGTACCACTACTTAGACCAGGGTCGTTTGATAGCAAAAGAAAGCAACACCTGAATACAGCGTCCCGACACTTGCGCATTTCACCAAATGAATTAAGAGGAACCCAGAATTCGCAATTATCCACTTTGTCTACTTCCTAACCAGGCTTCAATGAACTTTGGGCATTACAAACTCCATGATAGTGGAGGAAGAAAAGCAAGTATTCCCGCTTTATGGGCAACGACATTAATATTTCCAGTCTGTACAGACGACTCAAAAAAGCAAACATGGTTAAAAGCGGAGCGCAGCTGCCCGCATTCCCTAAGCACAGAGCCGGAGTCACAGAACAGAGCCCCAAGGTCGTAGGAAACTCGGGCCTTTGCACGTCATCGAAATTGCATGCACCGAAAAAAGGCTAAGACTGGTGTTTTAGTGGCCTTAAAAAAACGGATGAAAATTCAGATGGCCGCGGTTGAGTATCTCTTAGTGAACTTTTACCTATCCTACCTCAGATAGAGGAAAGGCAAACGTGTCCGCTCAAGAACCTACGGGATAACATAACCACCATAACATAACGGTTTTTAAATCAAACGAAATTAATTCACTTGGTCAAAGCAATTTCGAATAATTATATCTGGATCAAACCAACGAATTTATAAACACGGAATGTAAAGCAAACCTGGGCGTGCCAAAAATGTTGATCGACCTATAAGCGGATAACAATTAGCTGAAAAGGAAAAAGGTGAACAACCGCCCGATTGACCCAGGCAATTAATAGACTTTCCACTAAAGGGGAATATGTAGGCCAATGATAAGCTGAAGTCGAAACAGCACCCTATCTCACGGCCTCCACATGCAGCTTGTTCGTACCCAATGCACCTATATTAATAAGGCGAATTTGTTATGGGAAAAGGAACACGACCAGCGACGGTTGTCGACGTCATCCAAAAACGCTTAATATTTGGGTTCTTTAAATGGTTGTTCGAATAGTAAGGTGAGATTAGAAGGCCGGGACGGTAGAAATTGACAAATGCTTTGCAGGGATGTGTGGGCGTAAGACGAAGCAACGACCCACGGGTAACGGGTGTATTGTAACAGAAACGAAGCCTGCTGCGACAAGAGATGAAGACTTGACATTCAAGAACATGAGGGCTCTCCTAGATGGCAGTCGGAGATCGGGACATCTCCGCTGTATTCCCGTGGTTGATTGACAGCCTGAGAAGCCTGGTGTCTGCCTCCTCCAGTATCGTGTCGACCGGAACCTTTACCTCGCTTAGGTCCTGGACGCTGGTTCGTGTCGCACGTCGGATTGCCAGGTTTTTGAACTTCCTCTTAAAAAAAAACACGCAGCGATGGGAATTAGCAAATGCGTTTGGGGACGGCAAGTTGCATTGCCCGGTTCCAAGGCGTTAACTCTAGGTTCCATACATGTGCAGTTAAAAAAAAATTAGTTTAGCGCCACGATACAGATTTGATCTGCGTCGCCAGGAGAGTTAAAATGAAACGGTGCAGACGATTCAAATAAAGCATGACGAATCGCTAGTTTGTGTCAGCGTATTGACTTCAATCCGACCACACAAGGTTTTAATATGCGTAAGCATTACAACAGTGGACAGTCGACGAAGGAATCGGGTTCTAGAGAAAGCCACTGGTAAGTAGACCAGAGTTATTTTTGGCTAAGTGTCAACATAACGACATGTTTACTTCTGTCCTTTATTCAGAGGGCGGACAGGGCTCCATCAAGGATGGGTGCTGGGGTAGAGGCACCTTGAAGTTCAGAAGTTAAGATGAACCTTTATCTGGAGAATGACCCTTTCTACAAATCATGGAATGGGGTGAGCTCTGTGCTGTATGATACATTTACACTTAGTTGAGGAATGTACTGCAACCTTTCGACAGTTAAAAATTTATCAGTCAATTTTTACGACCACCTCTTAGCAAATGGAAGGTTCATTGACCTGAGTATGCGTGCTGTCAGCATGCAGTCCGGTGCGCTTCACAAGATGTTTAGATAGTGGCCCAAATCTGCGAATTACTACATCTGCATCGACCTCGGACAGCTTGAAACACTTGAGGTCGGTCTCCTCTCAAAGTAACACATGATGCCTAGTTCGACCCAATGATAGCAATTGGACCTGATTGAATATCTTAAGTAAACGAACCAGTAGCACGGTGTCTTAACCCTTAATTGAGGAACATCAACGACATAATCCCAGCTAAATTATGTCAGTAATATTTGGCCGTTCAAGGACCCTCATCGGTTTCTGATATCACTCAACTCTGTCGCATGTTTAACTCGTATTTTAGAGCAAGATCTTTAATAGCGCAGTTTTGAATTAGGTCGGTTGCAGTGCCGGTGTTTCACAACAATTAAGAGGGAATTTGGTCCTCGTCGAGCTAGTCCAGCTCAACGAAAAGAACACCCATCAAAGTGACATATTGCGAGTTGCTTTTACTGACTTCTGATAACTGATTTTAAGTAGGTGTAATCAGGAATAGGAACTGGTATTTTAAGTACTAAAGGCGTAATTTACTACAACAATGCAAATGAACGTGCATTCGTAGAATTGTTCATGACTAATAGCTTATTTTCGCGGTTAGGAGTGCACAAAAATCAACTAAATAGTCTAAAGAAAGCTGACAAGAGGTTCTTCGGACGTTTACACCTTAAAAAACTGCAAAAACTGAGACAACGGAAATGAACAATTTGCGAGAAGCTCCTTGAAGGAGACCGCTTTGAGTATGCTAAATTTATTTAGTGAGTTTAATATGGAGAAATTACAGAAACATCCCGATAGCAATTATTTGTCATGGTTAAGAGATAACACAAAGAAGTCATGTGGAAAATTCAGTCGATGCACTGTTTTGATAATAAAAAAGTGGACACTGTCCGATCGTAAAAACTTAAATGTAAAATATTTGTCAGCTCAAATCAGATTGTTAACATCACCAATCAGGCACCAGTTTAGTAGCCACAAATCTAGAAGATTACATACCCGGTTTAGGTGCTGGTGGGGGCAGGGAGTTCTGCCCGGGAAATGAGGGAAGCACGGCGCCGCCGACTACAGCAGCAACCCTAGCCTGCTGCTTGTTTTTTCGGGGTGGGTTTGAAGGACGAGGAGGATGTCGATGTGGAGGAGGGTCAGACTGTTCGGCAGCGGTATCTGTTGTCCGACCACCCCTCGAACCTTTGGCAGTGTCGCCGTTGAAGGTAGTCGCAGTAGTCATCCCACTGTCTGTTGCTTGACCGTTGTCTGTCTGCTGGACACGGAAGCGTCGCTCACCTTTAATGCAATCTGAAGTCGACTTGCTGAAAGACAAATTCAACTCAGTAACAACACAAATGGCTGCATCTCCAAAAATAACGTTTAACCCTCAGGAATATGAGCAACCCAATTCCGACGTGTGAATTTGTAATTTCGAGTATACTTGTGACGAGGAAGTAGGGAATTAGAAAAATGCATGTAAAAATATAAAAATAAAACAAAACAATTACAAAGTTATGCTGTCAGCAGATCTGTTTGAAGCCCTCTGAACCAAAGGATGTTTCATTGTAGAAGTACGTACAGAGGATAAATGGCAACTAAACAGCTTAAGTTTCGCCCTTCAAGGAATTGTCTTACATAGGCTACATGGTAATGAAATAAATATTTAAACCAATTACTTGCGGAAACAGTGTGCTCTTCGAACAAAATTATCCCATCGGTTTTGAGGAAGCCACAGAAATACTTAAGAGAAGCTAGATTGATATTCGAATCTTCGGACCTTCTCTAAATGATTTCAAAGGATTTTCCCACAACATTTGTAATCAAAGCTCAACGCAGACCTAGAACAATACATAATGTGAGACGAGAAGCGTTGCAGCCTAACGAAAATAATGTATAGAACTAGTTAGATGATTTAAACTAACGGCCTAAACACGAACGGGAATGTCGACAAAAATGAATCATCGGATATTTGGCATAGAAAAGATAATTCTAAAACAAGTGTCGTCATTGATCAAAATTAACCATATACGCCCCGAAGCCTAATGTATCCCCGTTTGTGAAAATGGGAACATGACCAAAAATAAATATTTAGCAACCAGAATTGGTTGAATGAGTTTGATTAATCTGGTTCAAGATGCTACTAAGACTTATTTTTTCAGGGAATGATCTTTCAATGGAGAATGTTCTGAAAACTAGATATTGATAGCGTAATCTGTAAGCTTAGAAGTATCTCAATCCAGCAAACCTAGTAGACGTCAAACTCACCTTGAAGCATCACGTTTTTTATGCTGATGTCCACCACCATTACGTCCATGAGGTGCAACGCTAGCCTGGAGCTGGTCAATTTCCTTTAGATTCTCTATATTGAAATTTATCAGCAGTTTGGCGTCATTTATTGCCGAACGAGTGCCGGTGAAGGCGAACGGGACGCAGTTCGGAACCGTTGCTTCATCGGCGGCTTGAACACGAATTTTAGCCAGGCCCACCAGATCCACTAGAGCCTGAATTTGGCGATTCTTTTGTCCAATTATGCGTGCCACGTATTGCCGTGGAACTTGCATCACCTCCGTTGCATACTCTAACATCTTCCTTGCATTTTCGACTGCCTCTCTAGTCTAAAGGGCACGACGACTAAAGGGTCAGCAGAGTTACAGCATAGAAAGGCAGGCGATCAGTTAACTCAGGGTGTCTAAGGAGGGGGCGCGGAGTATGAAAAAATAACTTAGTGATGTTTTGTTTAAGTACTTATCTTGCTGTAAAACAGAAAGATAAGACCAAGTCAACTGCTTACTGGGAAACCTATGGGGAATTTGTGTCCTCTTTTTCGGGATGATAGGTAAGCATTTTCGGTAGTCCTGAATTGAAAAATGAGTATCATATTGCTTTTACTGACATCTCCCAGCTTAATAATACCTTTCTTTTACCCCGATTGGGCAAATTTACCAAAACATCAGTTTCCATGTGAACAGATTCACCACAAGAAACGTATTTGGAAGCAATCAGTCCAATTAAAAAAGTCCACAAAACTGCAGTTGTACACATTTAATCACACTAATTGTACGAACTTTTTTACTAGATAATGAAATTATAACAAAAAAACAGCACAGACATTTGACTAGCTGCAGCACCTACACACCACTTTCGATGGAGATAATCCATTAAGACATGTCCTTTGCTGTAACTGGAAACATTCACACCAAATGTGCACATGTCCAATTAGAGGAAATGGGCCTTAGTGAGAAAATAACAAAAACCCATTACGGAAAACAAGTTACACAATGACTAGCCAGTTTAGTTGGCCAATTTATTGTTTACTAAGTTCGCAAAGTTTGGCAAAACCGAACCGAAGCTATAAGGGTTTGGAATCTAAGTCAACTAGCCTTAGATGAATTGCGACTCAAAATGGCACTAAAACGGAAGTATTCGTCGGATTGCAAGATTTCAAACACAAAATTTGTAAATTTTACACCAAGATTAACGAAACGTGCATAGTAAAATGGTAAACATGAATTTATGACATTCAGAAACGACATTATATGGAACGAAACTTAGAAATTGATAAGATACGGTGACTAAGCATAAAGTACCTGATAAGGGGAATAAGTGAACCAACAATTTACGACAAACCTAATAATTTAAAAATAACCTTTTATTACTAATGCGAACATAGAAATGAGCTTACTTTTCCAGAAACTCTGAAGGTACATGTATCAGGGTTGAGGACTACGCTAACCACCCCATCCACCTTACGAGCCTGACGAATGTTTGCCCCACTCGCGCCAATTGATTGACCAACAAGATCCGGTTCAACGGAAAACTCTTCACAGATAAGTGAATCAAACTAGATAGAAAAAAAAGCAGAAGCTCTGTTGAATCCAATCTTATTGATGCATCATAAAATGTTTGAGATAAAAATAGGAATTTTGCTAGTCAGACAACAGGTGGATTCAGTTTACAAAATACTTGTTACTCAAGTTTAGTGCAAAAATTGGACTGGACCAGAACTGCATCAAATGGCATGGGTTAATCAGATTACGGTGGTTGCAAAAATGCTCACATTTTACGGCCAATACCACCTGTTACAAATCAAACTGCTCAAGTGTCAAAAGTAGGTAAGGAAGTTTTAAGAAAAGAACTAATTTACTAGTTATTACGCAAATAAAGGGAAAACTTGCCTTGCAGGGCTGTGTTCCTTTGATACGTCGGGAAATTTCATTAATTTGATTAAGAATGCTATACTTTTGACGAAGCATCCTGATCACGTCATGACCCAACGTCTTTGCCTTAGTTATTGTCTCAGGAGAGGTACAAGTTATCAGGAACTTAGACTTCGATTCATCCGATAGGTCTACATTGCCCAATTCCTTTGGAAGATTCATATACGTGGAAACTTGACAGATAAGCATAGGTTGCCCACAAGCTCGAACTATGTGTTGAACATTCGATGGGTCTATGAACCTGGTAAAAGGGAGGTCTTATTAGCAAAACATCACTTTACTTTCACGTAATGGAGACCAAAATTATACCATTACCTCTAACATCTAATTATTGGTGGCGAAATTAGTAACGAAGATTTCCAGCTTATGACGAGCGAAATTAGCAATCACAATCGAGAAAAGATAACCATCAACAAAGTTTAAGACCGTACTGTTCGTAAAGAAGTTCATTACACACAGCAAAAAAGCTTATTTAGCTGGTACATCTCATTAAAACTCAAAATGAAAAAAAAAATGTTATTTGGCATACTTACAAGCCAACCAATTCCTTCGGAATATCAAGGACATGATAGAAAAAGTCCGACTCCGTCAGCTGCTTTTGAGAGCTTTTTGGTCTAATTTGGTTATTTTCAGCTACACCATCAAGCAGCGGCTGAGGAAACACGGGAGGATGCTCGTGGCTTTCACGTATATCAAACTCTACAACAACGAAATCCCCGCGCTGTTTGACAACGTGAGCCGGCCACCACGATGGGGGAAGTTCACCGGTTTGATAGAAGAGGTGATTGAAGCCATCATCGTTAACTGGCTTTCCAGCTAATACCTCTACTTCAAGACCAACCGAAACAATTGATGCGGAAATCGTGTGAACATTGCCCCTAGGAGGTTTTCGTAAACGACACGGAGATGCGTTTATTTCAGCGGGCAGTCCCGGAGAATCCTCACCAACAAATCTGAATTTAAAACTATCAGGAGCCCTAAAGCCAACTATGTAACCCTTTCAGAAGAAAGCCATAAATTAATTTAGGTTAAATTTACCGGGTATAACTCTCCGAAACTTCCAACTAATTCAACCGGGATTCCACTATCCATCAATGAAAATGCAACACAAAATAACGTGACCCTTTGGATGAACTGAGCGACCGAAATGCATCTGAAGTATATTTAAACAATCGTCCGATAACCTACATCTGCCATAAACTAAAAACCTACATAAATAAGATCCAAAAGAAACTAAATATTTCATTTAATGGGAAAGTATTGATTTCCAGGCATCCTAGAATGTACGTACATTCATTTCTCTGAAAATTTTGGCAAGAGAACACGGCAAACATTTCAGCAATGGTTTACAACATAACATGAAAATGGCCACAGTAAAGCAAACGATGAAGGTGCATTTACGTAGTGCTGTCGTTGAAATTTGTAGAGCAGATTTATTCTGCTGCGAGGTTGATTCAACTGACACGGGTATTGATGGGAATCACGAGGTCTCCTGACGACGATCGATTAGTCAAATGACACGTGTTTCGGATTCGACTGAAATGCTGTGATGGATTAACCTCTAAGCTATAAATTAAAGGCATCCAAAATGTATTTTTTTTCATATTTTAGTCATTGGTGCAATGATACCACAAAAAATCAGCGTGCGTAACGCATGCAAAACGAGCATATCTTAATCTACCAAACTCATTTGAACATTTCTACATACCTGTAACACACAATCCTTCAATTTCCTTTGCAGCTTCAAAAATGTTTGAATGAATACGATATACTGTTACGACAGCAATTGTTCATTTTGAGCTGTTGCAGACAGTCAATTCACTGAATCTTCATCTAAACATATAAATCACTTTGAGAATGGGATTAAAAGTGTGTAAAGCTGCAAAATATGTAAAATTGGGGTAGAATAGACGGGCGTAGTATAAATGTCACATGTTTATTTCTTAAAGCGTTTGCACCAAACTATGTTACTTGGATGTCATGAAATAAATCGATTGCCTCTGACAGGGTTTGAAACGTTATTTGGAAATCAATCTCAAATTTTGATCAATATGTTAGTCCAAGTAATGGTAATAAATGCAAACTAATATCTTTACATGGTAAATGTCAATTTCGTCAAAGATTAATGGGTCCAAGTATAAATCCGTAAACATTTTAGCCGCCTAAATCATTCCGGATGTGAACAGTTCTAAAATGGAGGTTTGAAGTTACTTAGTCCTAACGGTGAAAAGGCACCTATGTCATCAAACAAGTGCTCTAAAGCCTATGATATTAGGAATCAAAATAAAACTCCAATAAAATTTTAAAAGCGCTGACGACATAAAACTCTCGGCCAATGATCATAAGATTTTTAAGTCTGCAAGGCAATGAGGCTGTGGAAACACGTAGTAACCAAAAGCAGTCTTTTTAGATTTCTAGTTGAGTTGAATGTTTCAAGAAAGTCTGCACCATAATATTTACATTGTAGGCTCGTATAAATTATTCCGTCAATTGATATAAGCGCATACATTTTTCTGAAATAAAAGATCCGATTGTTAAATAAGTGTCGAAACTTTGGCCTAAGGTCTTAAAAATCCAGTTTGATGGTCCGGAACAGAGACACTGCTAACTTAAGGCTTAACGTTCTTATTGTCCGAATATGTTTTTTGTGTGATCACTCAGAATCGGATTGAACAATTTTAAGATGAACCATGCTAATCAGCTTTCATCTACTATGTTTGTGTTGTGTATTACTTAGTGCTACCTACCCTGGAGTGCTGAAGTGATGTAGATTGCCAGAGCCCTACAATGGAAATACCAAAAAAAATGTCCTTATAGACCGAGAATAAGCTAGAAACCTCATCTGCGTTTACTGCACTAATTGTGCCACTCTTTATATAGAACTTCTATATATCATGTTCTCTGGTTGGTCTCCGAACGTGAGGGTCTGCCACTTGAACGTTTGGATACAGGATTGACTATGCACAGTATAACTTATTATGTCGCCGACCTGTACGTGCCTTCTGTAAAATTGCCAAGCCCTGAATTAATGGAAACAGATGCAATAGAACAGGATTTATTGTTTACCAATAAGCCATAACCAAACACCTAGCGATGTCCATCAGAGTTCTGACGCTAGCTGCGCTGCTCAATATACACTGACACCAATTCTTTCCTTGATAAGTCAGTTGGTTCACAAATATAAGGATTAAAAAGCAACGCAGGAGGTGTTAATGTGCCTCAAAGCTGGCTATAGCAGGGCGGAACCCAATTTTTTTGGTGCAATTAAATTCTTTTATTGAAAAGATAAATGTGCAAAAAATAATAAAACCAACGAAATAGACAGCCTAAAGCATTTTAGAAGATAATGGAAACGATGATCTAAAGTTTATACGCTTCTCCTGAAAAAATCTTCAGTAAATAAGCTTTAAGTATAAATAAATTCAATTATCGTTCGTATCAGCACCTTGAGGTTGCATACTTTGCCAAAAGTAGTTTTTATACATCAATAAAAAAGACAGTAGAATAAAACTAGGTTATTTTTATCCTTATGGTTTTTACAGACGACAGAAATGGACAAAGAATCCTGATGATAATCACAATAAAGCAAATGGCGCTTACAATAAATGGGTGTCTTTTATTAGCCAGTTAACACAAAAGGTAAAATTTCCGTACAATGCATTTAGCGCTTTCCGTCTGGTGACTTCAAATGTGCAATTTAACTGTTGTATTTGCAAACTGCGAAAAATACTGTTCGAAAAATTGTAATAGAGGATTGCATAGGCACAGGTAGCCAGTTCTATCATTCAAGTGGCTGTGTTTATCTTGTTTTTATTTGAAACATATAAAGTACCACCACTGACACCTTTGCATGAGCATGCAGGCAAAAACCTCCACAATCACCGATCATATTTTGAAGTCGCTCCCAGAATTTATAAACGCGTAAATTTGCAAATTTGTTGCTTATCTGCATTAATTGACAAACTTTTGATCGAATAATAATATTATTAGGGATTAAATGTGCACATGACATTATTTCCAACTGACTTTGTACTTTTTGCATAATTTTGTACATCTAGTTCAAGAATCGAAATGCATCTAAATTCTAGGGTTTTTCAACTGAAAACTAACGAAAACATAAGCTAAATTACATATATCACACTAAATCGTTTTAGTTTATGCTAGATAATTATTTTAACTATATGTAAGCAAACGTGTTTAAGTTACTCATTTACAATTTTGCACTATTCAAGTGGAGTCCCTGCGAGCAGACAGCTTGTCTTTAATTTGAAAATTAGCTGAAAAACATAGATTTGGGTAATAAATACACTAGTTATTTTAAGTTTTTGTAATTTTTCCGTAATGCAGCAATTTTGATTAAACCTTCTTTTTCTTTTTGAATTTATTGAAAATTTATTTTGCATCATCACGTCTTTTAGAGGTCAAACACGCCAGCCACGTGAATGACAAAATGGTTTGTTTCATGTTGCACTAATTTAACATTCCAGGTTGATTTTGATCCATCATTTCGTTTTGATACCGAGGTAATATCCCGTTTTCATGAATTTTTGTATAGGATTTAAAGCCTTCAAATTTGTCATCTCACGAATCATTGGATTTGTCATGTCTAAATACATGTAAAGTTGATGAATTGATAAAGCAATATCGTCTTGAAAATCTTCAAGATCTTTCCGAATCATTGAACAAAATTATTAAAGCGGAGGAATCTAGTCAACAATTTGAATGCGACGTAGCTGGTAAGAACGTTTAAACTCAATAGAAATATTCCTTATAGATTCTCTTCATGATAAGGGAAGACTTAAAAAATGTAAAAAAAATGCTGCAGAAGAAACCAAACAGGTGGGTCTTACAATCAATTCATTATTCGTAGGAGGAGCAGTTTGAGTTTACACAATCTGTTACAAGATTTACAGATGTTGAATCTTTCCTTTTATTCAAATTATCTAAACCCCTATTGAAAGCGCTCACAGAAATGAAACTTTTTAAGCCAACTCAAATACAATGCGCCTGCATACCCCTTGCTTTGCTTAATCGGGACATTTGTGCCTGCGCACGCACAGGCTCGGGAAAAACGCTGGCGTTTTTGTTACCAATAATCGAACGAATGGTCTATGCCCCAGCTGCCTCGCGCAGTCTGACAAGGGCTCTTATTGTTAGTCCGACTCGTGAACTGGCGGTTCAGATTTTCAAAGTTGCTGAGCAGCTTGTGAAATTTTGTCCACGACTAAAAATTCAGCTGGCTGCCGGTGGGCTGGATATATCTTCCCAAGAAGCATCACTGCGAACAAATCCCGATATTGTTGTGGCAACACCGGGTCGTCTTATAGATCATTTGTCTAACGCACCCAATTTTACTCTAAGTGGAATCGAATATCTGGTTTTGGATGAAGCTGACAAGTGAGTACTCATTACTCAATAAACATTTCCAGACTCCTTGATGAGTACTTCACCGAACAAATTAAGGAGATTATCAGACATTGCAGCACTCAGCGCCAAACCCTACTTTTTTCAGCGACAATGACCGAGACGGTAATCTATCAATGTGATTTTGTGGCATTTTTTGTTCGGCTGCTGATGTTCTTGGCTCAAACGGTAACTTATTTTAACCCGACATTCATATTTAGACCAACAAACACTTATTAGTGATTAAATCTACTGTGGAAAGTCTCATTTTGCAAAACAATATCACTGTGGCATTCAACTTTTTGACCCGTAACTTCAGAATCAACAATTTGCAACACCTGAAAACGGATTCTTAGATATCCTGTATAGTATCACAAGTTTTATTTTAAATGAAGTGGACTTGTGAGTTGTTGTAGCACTATTTTCCTTGACAGTGGCTAATGAACCCTAGAGGAATCTGCACACTTCTGACACAAATTACCTAATGTAGAGGTTGTGACTAGAAAGAATTTTTGTGCAAACAATGTGTAGATGGTACTACCCTCAAAACTCAAATTTTGTAACCAAATTTGATTCATGCGTCAAGCCATAATTTTATTATTTTTTGGAACTGGCACTTGCCTGATTCAGGAGACGAAACAGCCGTCACCAAAGTCATTATATTAATTTTTTGACGGCATGGAGCTTTAGAAAGAAACAATAAGCGCACATGGCTTAAGAAGATGTTAAAATTATGCCACCGCAAAAATTGTATATTTTTTTATTCCCTTTGATAGGTTCGTGAATTGGCGACTGTGTCTCTCAAAAATCCTGTTCGTATCTTTCTCAATCAGTCTACTGCGGTGGCCAATCGCCTAGACCAGGAATTCATCCGTATCCGACCCAGTCGAGAAAAAGACCGTGACGCCATGCTTGCAGCTCTGCTTGTTCGCTCTTTCCCTCGTCGCACCATAGTTTTTCTACCCACTAAAAAGGACTGTCATCGAATGCACATCCTCCTTGGGCTATTGGGTCTTCATTGTGCTGAAATGCATGGGGACATGAACCAGGCCCAACGCTTAGAGGCCCTCCGAAGATTCACTGACGCCGAGACCATGAGGATGAAAGCAATGGACAAAGTAGGTGCAGAGTTTGCTGCTGGTACCGGTGCTTCAACCGAACATGCTCCGGTTCCTCCTCCTGTTGATATTCTCTTGGCTACAGATTTGGCGGCACGTGGTTTGGACATACCAGGTGTCCAGACGGTGAGTATTTGCTCTGTGTGTTTGGGCTTTTTAACTGTTTTGGTGGCATTTTTCGAAATAAAGTTTGTCTATTTCTAGTTATGGTAACTTAATGTGATGCCCGATTTAACCGACACAATAGACGGGCAATATTTCTAGTAGTCATTCTTATGATAAAATGCTATTGTTTTCAAAAGTATATATCCTTTTGATTTTCCTGAAAATCTAATCTGCAAGTTTTTACCGCTAAATTTGCTTGGATGTGGCAGCATAGAGCGTACAACAAAGTGATTTAAATTGTGAAGCAGAGCATTGTAAAATATTTTGATTTTAATTAAAGTAAAGTTGCTATATGAAAGGACGAGTCTGCTTTCAGTTAACATTGTCTTATGATTAGTGTAAGCAATCCAGAAACAGTAAGTCGATACTGGTGTGGTTTGTTGTTATCTAAGCAGACAGCATTTTGATAGTCACCCTCGTCCGACCATCAGCTTTGCCACATATGAACTTTCTGCCTAACTTTCGCATTAATCTAACTTTTGTTCGTTCCTTAAGTCACAATTAAACAGCAACAGTATCCAGCCTGATTCACAACTGACCGTGGTAAAGGCCACCTTCGATTCCCTTGAGTGAATATTCTGGCTTTGCAGTTTTAATTGACCAAACCATACCACTTACAATGTAGGTTATTAACTACAAACTTCCGAACAACATAAAAGCATATGTCCATCGCGTTGGTCGAACTGCTCGTGCCTCTAACTCTGGTCGGTAAGTGTATGCCATGTACCTTGTTTTTTACGCAATTTTATCTCCCAAATTACGCAAAACCTCTGTACCTCGTTGTAGTCCGATCCTGGTGGCTGTTGAGTCGTAGTGTGCTTTGTTTTGTTAAATCTTTACTTTAGTGGGAAAAAATGGTAGCCATGTAAATGTCCGTTAATGCTTATTGCTGGCTGATTTCTTTCTATCCTTCCTCTCTCAACGCGCATGAACTTTCAAAGCATGACTTTGTTCAACGACCATGACTTATCTTGATTACGAAATAACAGTCGGTTAGGTGTCGTATCTGTTTGTGTATCATTTTATTTCGTAATTTTGTGAATGAACCACTACTTTGCTACTTTTTTTTGATATTTTATGATTCTATCTACCTCTTGTCGAATGTCTTTTCTGCTAAATTTTCCATCTCCGTTTGAAGTTTAACATTGTCCTAGCCTTTCTGTGGGTGTATAGTTGCGATGATATTAATTTTGTGTTTCTGCTGTCATGGAGACCATGAATTTTCAGCTGCAGTAGTGATTATCAGAATAGCTGATCGTTAGCACATGTATCCTTCTTTTTTGTCACACACCTTTTGTTTCGCACCGATATTCATTGTTATTACTTACGATGAATGCCACCTGCGTGTACTTTCACACCTCTGTTGTATCCTCTCCCGGTCTCTGCTTCGCTTGCGAGATTTAGCCAGTGTTGAATAACCCTTCGTTCCCGAGCCCATTCACCGCCAGGTATTGCAACCACCTTACGGTCAGGCTCACTTAGTTAGCTGAAGTTGATGTTACGGAATTGTGTGCGGCCCTCCGTGGATCAGGGCCTCCAGCATCTGCGACACAAACTGGCACAAGTTCTCAGATAATCCAAGGCAGATTGACTTAGTTAAGCAGGTCTAATGTTAATTCACACCCTTGGTGCAAATTTGTCATGCCTCAACAGTTTCAGTTACCCTCTCAAACATGTTGACCGTTTCAACTCTATGCCGGGGCTCTTCCAATGCAGAACATTGTTATGGTCTCCTTCTTCACTAACTCTCGTGCGTGTCTTTTTTTCTGCATGCTGCCCACAAACGTGAGTATTGACCGACTTCTAGCATTTCGCATAACCTTCGTTAAGATATTGAAGTGTAATTTAACTCACTCTGAGGAAATCACTTAGGTGTGGAAATTTTTGACCGATTTGTGAAACAATGTCACTACTAGTTGAAGACTAGTTTTCTGATAAATTAATCTAAATTAATTTTTTAGCGCTGTATCTTTGGCTGGTGAAGCCGACAGAAAACTGCTTAAGGAAATCGTTAAGGATGCACCTTGTCCTGTGAAGGCGCGAGTTATTCCACAAGGTAAGTAGTGTGGTTACCAAGGATCGTGCCACTCATTTGTTTGCGAGGCTAGAAAAAACTCTGAGCCACAAACCTTTGCCATCAATTAGCACTAAAATTTATGATGCATCTAGTGAGTATATGGTGACCGTTCAATAGTAATCCAGTAGTTTCATGTTCCTTTGTTGCAGTTATCGCCTTTTGCCAAAACATTTGCTATTCAGTTTAGTCTTCTTTTTTAAGACGTTCAACTCTCCTACTTGGTGTGGGCTAAAGAACTGCGAACTACTAAATACTTTCTGGCTGTCCAACAAGCCTCATACGTCGCATATACTAATAAAACAGAAATTTTGAAAGTACATACGTTAAACAGCACTGAATTAGGAATTGGGCGAGGCAAAATTGCCAAGCTCGAAACTCGTAGCTTTAGCTTAGAACCATGGTGAGTGTTGCGTTAGCTAAAGTGGTCTGTGGTCTGCATCCGTTGCATTCTGCAATTGCGTTGCTTCGCAATGCATAAAGTCGGTGTCTGGTTTTTCCGTCCCTCTTCTGGTCTTCTTCATGAACTCGAGATAGACGTGGTTTGATATTCTCAAAACAGCACATCCCACCTGTGGTGTATCTAACCGTGTCAGGGTTGGTTGGGTTGCCCTCAAAATTACCGTTTTTACTGCCTGCAGTTAGTGACTATTCCGCACATTATGTTTCGTAAAGCTCAAGGGTTTTTGTGTTAATAGCTGTTAACTGGATCATTACTTAACCATTGTGCAATAACTGCGGTTGAGTCTTCCAATAAACTGCCGAATTATCCACCCCATCCACGGTGCCTTTGCTGTTTGATCTAAGAATTGTAAGTTCCAATACAATTCCTTTGAAATGACCGACGTTTGCAATTGCCACGTTTTTAATAACGGGATCGCTGCTCCCAACTCCTTTTTTATTGTTATGTCAAAGGGTAATGGAGTTCTACTCTGTCTCCTGCATCGACTTCCCGGTATTGGTATTAACGAGTTGTGAAATGTAGCGAAACTTCTACACATCGTTTGTTATGATATCAAGCAATTGACGCCCCACCGACCGATTACGAGGACTACCTTGTTAATCGTGCGACTATAGCTAGGCTAGCAAACTGCTATTAATTTTGCCCGACGGTTTTGTCATGGGTGCACATCAAAAACAGAAAAGAACATCCGTGACAGCTTGCAGCCTTATACCGTGTACCTTCGTTTGTGTAAAGCATGGAGGCCATGACTGCCTTTTTACTTCAAGTGGTACCGATCTTCACATTAACCTTAATAACGACTAATAAGGATTCCAGTAATAGTTGCAAAGATGGTCTCTTTTGCTACTGAAGGTTGCAAATTAAACATACTTTATTCCCATAAGCTAGAAACTGGGAGACTGCGACGTATAACTCTTTAGTTAAACCTTTTTTACCATTTTTCCACTTGTTTGCTGTTTAAGAGGTCATCGCCCGTTTCAATGCTCGTATCGCCAAGGTCAAGCCATTCATGGAAGAGATTCTGGCGACCGAGTTAGAGGAAAAAGAGCTGAATGCAGCACAGGTACAGCTGGCGAAAGCTGAGCAATTGATGCTGCATAATGGAAAAGACCAGTCAGTTCCCAAACCAAAGAGGTCAAACTGGTTTTCAGAAAAACGGGAAGCGGAACAAGCAGGTAAGTTAAGCATGGGTACTCGAGCCTCCTTTGATACTACCGGCACCAGTTGCCCTTTGCTTTAATTGTTGTTTCTAGTACCTGGCTTGCGTTACCTATAATAACGAGCTTCGCCCCGTTGCACTGATTAGTTCCCCTGCAATGTGATATATAGTCAACCGGCGGTCACCGGTAACGCAGCTCCATAAATCTTTAGAAACGTTTCCTGCAAAACTATTTGCTACATCTCCTTTCAGCCAAAAGAAGAAAAAAGGCCAGTAGTAAACCACCGACCAAACGCCAACGCAAGGCCTAGTGAAATCGATCGATCAAAGGAAGTACTTTTATAAAACTCATGTATTCCTCATAACTTTGTGTACCGTGTAAACAAGCGACGAGTCATAGTAATGCTTCATCTTTTTATTACGCTCGCACTGTTGCCTTGCTGTCATCTGCCTAGGGAAATTCTTTTGTCTGGCTGATGACAAGAGAGCCTATCCCCGAATACTTTTAATACAGCAAGAATGAGTGATCACAACAACGTTGATATCTTTACGAACAAACAGTTAACCAAATTATAAAGACTAAAACAACGCGATTTTACACGGGGTAAATTGGGTATGCGCATCAATTGTATGTAAAATGGACGATTTCTCTATAAAGACAGCTGTCCATTCGGTTACCGCTTGGAGTTGATGGGTGTGTGGGAAATCAACTTGCACCTGCTCAGTGTCGTTTAGGTACTAGATTCCGGACAGAGGAAAGATGTGTATTGGGGCCCGCGGAAGTGAACACCAGTAAATCGACACTAGCAGGGTACGATTTATTGGTACAGATCGGGTACCCAGCTCGCGCTTTTGCCGTAAATCGACCGCGGGAGCGCACACAGACTTGACACCAGCTAGTTCCCAACCTTGTTCTGATTTTTCACGCAGAACATCGGCAAACACGATGAGAAAACTAAGTTAAGCATCGGAGCCAATGTGTCTCTACACAAAACGTGCGGTCTAAATTCAACGTTTGTGCAACAGTGCACTCTAGTAACGGAAGTTTGGGGCAACGCGTACACCCAGAGGCTGCAACACGTGGTCGATGCTTGTGCTTGGGTACTGACTTGCTAAGCAATCACCAAGTGGAACATCACTCGTAACTTGCCCTAATGCTGTTTAGCCAGAGGTCTCCAGTTTACACCACTCCAGCAATCATAGCATCTGTTGGGTCATCATAAAGCGAACAATTTTAGCTATGGGGTTCGCATTTATTCAATAGGTAATGAATGCAAAGACTGTCAATATAAAGTCACAAACTATGAGTCATTACTTGGGCCAAGTGAATTCAGCATCATCGAACAATTCTTGGGGGAGTTCGTGACGACCGCAGAAACTAATCTGTGTGCCATGTTTTAAGACAGATCGGCTTGCAATCCAAACTGAACGACGAAGCTTCTCAACAATTGTTAGGCCTGGGTACCGCGCCATGTAAAAGGCGAGAGAACCAGCAAAGCAATCCCCGGCACCAGTGGTATCAACAATTCCTGTGTGCGATGGGCAGCGAATATGAAAAATGGCTTTACTGCTCCCTACCATATCAGATTGAAATAGCGTAACATCAGTGGCCCGAGTAGATTCGCCTTCGGATTTCGGAAGAAGACCAACAACACCCTTTGCTCCGAGAGTGATGAGAGGGTACAAAACACCAGCTTTGAGAATGTGAAGAAGCCAGGGCAGGGCAGTTTCGGCAATCTCGAGTGGGCACTTTCCTTCGAAGTCAGGTGCGGGAATGCCAGTGAGAACAGCTGCCTCCGTTTCGTTCGGACACACAATTGTTGACGCTACCAGAAAACGCCTCAAGAGGGGAAGAAATGGCGAGCCAGGTATTGGGGCAGGAGAGGGGTCTAGGATAGTAATCAGACCAAGTGCCTTTGCTTGCTCCATTGCATAAAGTGTTGCTTCTGGGTTGGCCTTAAAATGGCAAAGGCGAAATTATCATACTTACATACAAAGCCGACGTCTCCTAAGAAGGAACATACCTCAAACTGACATGCCATGACTTTTTCCCCGAGGAGCCCCTTTCTTTTTGCCTCCTTGACATCACCAATCGAGATTTCCAAGTTGGCGCCAGGAATAATCACAATGTTGTTGTCACCATGATTCCTTTCCACAGTAATGACAGCAACACCACTGTGAGCAGTGTTACTCACTTTTATGGTTTCTGCCATTTTTAGAACAACGGCGTAGAGGTAATGAGTGGACACTTCTCAGCCAAATAGAAGGATGCGTTAAAAGCACTGACATAGGCAAGTAATAAACTATTCGCGGTAGTCAACACAAGAGGTAGTTGAGGTGAAAATACACGAATAAATTTGAAGCAAAGGAACAAAGGCCAACAAAAGGATATACTAATTCCCTCTTCTTGGGATGGTCACTAGGCATTCATTAATCACATTTTCATGATATTTTCTGTTACTTGACATTATTTAAGGTGATACTAAATGAAATTCACCCTAAATAACAAAACACGAACAAGTGAGACGTAGGACTGCATAAAGACGAGGAACAAGAAACAATCACCTGTTTCCACCCCAACCTTCTTCAGATAGTTTACATAGTCCTTCCCGAAATAGTCATCGCCTACCTTAAAAAACCAAGGCAATTAAAAGTAAATTAGTCGCACTCGCGATATAATTGAAGTTCTGGCACCGAGGATTTGAGCAGCAAAACACTGGTTAGCACCCTTTCCACCGTATCCAGTTAAAAATTTTTCGCCAACAATCGTCTCACCTGGAGCGGGAAATTTTCCAGTATAACTTGATAAAACATTTAGCGTCTTACAATGCAGAATACCAACCACATCAAATCAGTGTTAATCGAACCCACAATCGTAACTTCTATTGGTTGATGTTTGTCCATAAGCTAGAACGGGATCTTAACTACTTCCTTTAGCCAAATATTTGACCGGGATGTCGTCAACGTGGCCACTGTATAGTGTGGTGTAGTGGGGTATGGTGTGGTGAAGCGTGATGTGGTGTAGCTACGGTGTGGCGGTGTTGTGGTGTTGTGTGGTGTGGCGTCGGATTAGGGCGCAGACATGC